ATTTATTATTAATTATCTATTATATTTAAAATATAAAATAGCAATAATCTCATCGTTTTCTTAAACTTTCATTTAAATAGTAGATATAATATTAATATTAAAAATACTAATTTCGTATAATATAATAGTTCATTGATATAATTCATTTTTTTCGACTAATGAAGTTTAAAGGTGATGATGTAACGCATTTTTTAACAAACATCTTTAAATTATTTTTTTCTATTCTGATATTTAACACGAGCTACATAATAATTAAATACTTTATATCTGATAATCTAAATGATCTTGCTACTCTCGTGAATTTTGTTTTATAAACATTTTGAAATAATAATTGAATAAATTTATTTTAAAATTTATATGACAGATAATAATTATTATAGAAATTATAGAAATTTTGCAATAATTTATAAATTTTCGTTTTAAATATTGAATTATATCAACCAGATTTTTTAAAATTATTTCACAGATTTTTCATAAACATCAATCAATTGTACATATAAGAGAATATAATATTTAAAATTAAAATTAAAATTATAAATTTTTAATTTTAAATTAAATTTTTAATTTTTAAAATTAAATAGCTATTTAATTTAATAAATGCAATGATTACTTAATTTAATAATTTTTTTTCTAGTTAAGAAACAAGTAGAAAAAATTAAAATTGTATTGTTAACATAAGATGAAACATTTCTGCTTAAAAAAGATGGAAGGATTACATTATTAAATTTCTTGTAATTGCCTATACATCAACTGGTGTCCACGTAAAATTGTTTTCATTTTTGAAGGATAGAGATATATGTTTGTTTCATTTTTCAATGATGACTTTTTTTTATTTTATACGGAGAGTAATTTCTTTCGTAATGAAAAGAAAAATTAAATGTGCTCAGAAAATTGAATTTTTTTATATTCTTCTCATAATAATTTTCTACAACAATAATTGAAGATATAAAAGCGAAATTAATTCATTTCTAAAAAATTAAAATTTTATAAAAATATCTAGTTAAATCATAACAATCAGTTATAATCAAGTTTATAATAATTTTCTACTGATATTAGAAAATATTTTCACTGCATTTAAAATTACATTTTTTTCAGCTTGTACAGTTTATAATTAATTTATAGACTTTCACAATTAAAATTATGTGACTATGTAGAATGTATATTTGAAGAATATGAAGGATTTCTATTTAATAGAATTAGCGGAAATTAACATTGAAAGATAGAAGAACAGAAATAGTGAATATTCAGTATCTAGGAAAATTGTCGAATATCTTTTGGAGGCTATTAAACTTTTCCAATTTGAGGAGAAAATTTGCGTGGAAACTTTTCTTCAAGTGCTCATTCTAAACTCTCGCCTGGCGAGCATTTATGATGTCTGTAATTACTCCGTATTGAATGGGAGCAACAAATACAACCTTCTGTGCAGCTCATTTTCAGCTAGAATTGCTCATTGCATTACTATTTAACCGATACTCAAAAAAAATTTTATATTTTCAATAAAAGTCATCTATAGACATACGAAAAACATTTTTTGACAGATAAAAAAATATAATATTGAGAATTAAATTATAAAAGCACTAAATAATATAAATAAAAAATTGCACAATTTTTATATAGATGGAAAACAAATATATTGAATTAATAAAAATTTATATTCAAACAATTAATTTCCTTTCTTGTCTTTTTTACAAAAAAAATGATGATGATAAACTTAATAACAAAATAATAAATGAAATATTTTTTTTTAAGTTATAAAAATAAAATTATTTATTTTTTGAACTATCATTTTTAACAAAATATCAAATTATTTATTGTAATCTATCAAAATTAAATTTTAATAATGATTATATCTTGTCAAAAAAATTATTATTGAATTTATGAATGTATTATATTTTATTAAAAAGATCTGAGAATATTATATTTAATAAAATAATAAGAATAAATAATTTTCATTTAAAATATAAAACAAAAATAAAATTGTCATCATTATATGATGAAAATATTGAAAATGATAGATAGAAATGATTATTTAATAATTTGTCAGTTAGTAATTGAAAATTGTAATTCCAAAAATCGTACTAATAATTCATAAAATTGCTCAAAAATTATTAATCATAGAAATCATCTTTGAAAATTAGGAAAAACTATCTAAACTATTAAATTAGTAATTAAAATCTTTATCATACTTCTCAAAATCACATGATCCAAAATATTTTCAAAAAAAAAAAAAAAATTAATTTATAGCTAACGAAAAGAATTTTTTCTTTTTTTTTATTAATCAAAACACGTGATTATATAAATATTGTATATATATAGTGATATATATATATTATATATAAAGTGAAAAAAATTTTAATTGATTAATTTATAAAATAACAAAAAATTTAAAAGAAATGGTAGTAATTTAAGAAGAAAGATCATGAAATTATTTTGTATACTGAGAAAATATACTAAAAAAAAAAATAAAAAAAAAAATCTCTATTTTAAGAAATTTCTAAAAACGATATAATTCAATTCTTATAAAAGAAAATATAGGAAAAGCTTCTACTTCGAGAAATTATGTTAACAATGAAAAATAATTGCCATTAGTTTAATCACATTGGAATAGAAATTATTTATAAAAACTAGCTTTTCAAAATCCTCATTTTTCGTACTCATTTGTCGTGAATTATCAATAATTATCAATAATTCAGAAATTTCAAATAATGATCTTCTCTTCTTTTCAAGATTTTTTATTATTTCTCTGATTAATTTATTTTTTATGACTAATCATAAATCTTGTTACATTTAAAGTTCATAATAAACTTATGATAATCTTTCTAAACAATCCTTAAAAATATTATGACACGTTTATTTAGTTATTAAATTATTGTATTTAGAATATAATTAATTTTAATTACATTTATTTTATTATAATATTTTTCTTTTCTGTATTAATATTTTTTTTATATTTCTACATTATTTTTCATATTTTTCATATATTTATTTATATTTTTTTGTATTAATTTTTTTTTTAACAATTGATTATTTAATATAATTCTATCAGTTATAATTCTACATAGTTATTCTATTAGTAATATAGATTTCTTGGATATTTTATTTATACTTTGTGTAAGAGTTTTATAAAAGCATGAGCTAGTAGGATCATTTAAAATCAAAATATAAAAAAAAAAACAGAATTTCAGTTTCAATCTACTACAATGTAATAGTAAAATCGATGAAATAAAGGACATATGTCTGCGAATTAAAATAAACGCGTTACTTAGAATTCACGAACCATCAAATTATATTATTTGAATATTATCTATTTTATGATATATTATGATATACATTGCAATTAATAAATATATATTTGGAAAATCAAAAAATTGTTAAAATTATAATAAACATTGGATATTCAAAAAGCGCAATTATATAGCAATGTCGAAATTTAATTTCGATATACAGAACTCAAAGTTCTCTTTCTTAAATTTTATTAAACAAGCAATTAACAATATGAAAAATATAAAAGAGAGAAAATTTAAAATTAAAATAAACATTTCCACGAATTTCATAATACGAAGACATATTCTCAACTATGGACATAATTATTAAATATTTATATTATAGATCATTTCAAGCACTTTGAGATCATAACATGAAAAAAATGATATAAAATCAAGAAGAAATTTTATAAACGAATTCGATATAAAATTAAGAATAAAATAACTGCGAAAAAAAGAACAGTTCCCTTTTTTCCCTATTTTGAAGAAAATTGATAAAAGTAGTATAATTAATGAATTAGTTTGATTTTTCATCCGTCATTTGTTTCCTCACATCTACTTACATGAGTTATGTCAGTTCACTAATTATATTATTTTTTCCTAAAGAATATTCTCTTTTTCCAAAAAGAAAATTTTAGTTTAATAACTGTACTTTCTTTTTACAGAAAAAAAGAATTTTCCTTTCCATCAATCCTACTGAGAACGATGCTATAGATAAATTTAATGCAAAATCGCAAAGTTATTGAAAGTTATTGGAATTGCGCAGATAAACTCGATACGGAATAGTATTGCTACAAAATAAAAATTATAAATAAAACTCAAAGCATGTTACAAGAAAAGTTAATTTTTATAAATGCATTTGAAAAAATAAAAATAAAGAGATATAGAATTGGCAAGAGTTTATTTGTAGATATTGAAACGCGGCGAATTCGATACAAAATCGTATAATAAAATCATCTTATAAAATCATTCAAGTATAATTGTAAAAATTGCTAGTATTAAATATTAAATATTATAAATATTATAATTAAATATTAAATTAATATTAAATATTAAATTAATATTAAATATTAAATATTAGAATTTAAAATAATTCGAATCAATTTCAATTCAAATTCAGTAATATGTATGTATAAATATGCTATTCTTTATTAAAAATTTCTTTAGTGTATGTTTGATTTATTATATTCTAATCCATTATTTAATTTTTAACACTATTAATTAATTATACTATTTTACCTTTTTTTTTTTTTTTACTCATTTTAAGTATTATTAAATATAGAATTATAAATTTTGATCTGACAAATATTATTGCTTAATCATAGATATTTCTCTAAAAATTATTTTTTTCGATCAATTTATCAATTAACTTATTTTAATAAACTTAAAATATTTTATTAATATATTATTTTAAACAATTTTTTTCATTATATCAACGATCAATTTTAATTTTCGAATTATATATTAATAATATTTCAATTATTAAAATTCATTAAAAAAAAATTAATTAATAAACTTATAATTTTTTTTCTTTTTAATTTTTCATAAATATCTCACTGAATTCAATATACAATATTGAAATAATTATAATATGTAACATAAAAAGTATACAATAAAATCAAGTTCAAATTATTATATTTATTGTTATTTTATTATTTATTGTTTTATATATATATATTTGTTATATATAATAATATAATTTTATTAATTATATTTAATATAGGAAACTATTTTTTATAAATCTTAATAAATAATTTATTTATGTTATCATATAAGAATAATAATATAATGGATAATCTTTAAGAGATGTATAAGTATATAACTCCATAGGCATAGGCTCAACATATGTATCTTCTGGTAATGATTCATATATTTTCGTTCCAAAAAGTGTACCTACTTCCCAATATGGAAAATCCTTCATTACATCATCTTCTATATCTCGCAATCGTTTCATATGTTTTAACAGTCTGTAATTAAATAAAAAATTATATATATGATTTTTAAAAATGAATTATAATTATAATATATAGATTATTATAATTATAATTATATATATATTAGAAATATATGTGAAATACCAAAATAATATATTTTAAAATAAAAATAATTTTAAAATTATTGTTTAAATTATTGTTAAAATTAATGTTTGGATATTAATGGGATGATTCAAAATATTTTTGAAACTAAAATAATAGTAATAAGAATAAATAAGAATAATCTAGTAATAGTTTCTAATCTAATAACCTTAGATAAAATTGCTTTTTCAAAACATTTAAACAAATAAAAATTCTACATACAGATATATGAGGATAAATATTTTTCTGCATATCAAAATATAAAAAATAAAAATTTATAAATGTTATCTGTTGTTTTTAAGCATTTAAAACAAGTTTAATAGTTGAAAGAAAGAAAAAAATATTAAATAATTAATTATGATCAGAATATGACACATAATTATTTACTGTAAATATTAAGAAAAAAACAATAATAAAAGTTCAATTTATAGAAATAAACTTCAAATTCCTATTCAAATTAATTCAAATTAAAGAGAAATAACAAAAAATAACTCAAAATGATTAATATATAATTTGAATTAAAGTTTATATCTTAGCTAGAGAAGAAACAGAAATTTTTACAATAGAGAGAGAAAAAATTTACAAAATTATATTATTGAGTTATAAAAATAAAATACTAATAATATACATAATTAAAATAATAAATATAACAAATAATAAAATTTCTATAAAATATTTTTCTAAAAATAAATTATATAAAAACAATTATACTTACGTTCTATCTCTTTCTGCATATAAAATAGGAAGTGTAGCTAATTCTTGACTTTTTGCTTCAATAATATTTTGTTTATTTTCTTTCCAAGTTTGATAGTAAAGAGGAAATCCAAATACATTAACAGCAACAAATATTCCCATACTCAAACGACCTAAAATTTTTTAATAAATAATTTATCAGCAAATTATTATTAGTCATATAATATTATTTTTAACAAATATATATTAAAAAATAAATAAAAATAACTTTAATATTAAATATTTTATCAAATATTTACTTCTTTTTTCTATCAAAATCACTATTATTAGCTTTTTCCTATTCTATTATTATATAAAAACTCATTGAATAAATAGTAATAAGTTTTTCTTATAAATAAATTCTTATAAAAAAATATATAAAATATGAAAATTATAAAGTTGATGCAAAATAATTTAAAAATTATTTAAAAATTTTCAAATTCAATATTTTATAATTATTATGTTATTTATAATTATTATAATTAAAATATATAAAATATATCACATATATACATACGTATGATAAATATATATTTTTAAAAAAATTATAAATATATTATATTTATATATTTTTAATAAATTAAATGGCTTATATATAATAGCTTATTAATTTCAATTTTCAACAAAATCAACAATTTTAACATATTATTTAAAAAACATTACATAGCAATAACATGTTAGATAATGAACGATATAGATTATAGGTTAGCTTATACCTGTGAATATAGTACGTAGTTTAGTTCGTGCTATTTGAAAAGGAGCATATCCTCCTTTAGGAGGTAAATCTTGGGTAAATCCTTTTTTAGACGCAGACATTTCTGATAATTTAAATTTTTCGACAAATAAAAAACGACAAATTCACAAAAATGGATGGCATAACTTTTACCTTAAACGATCTCACATAATACTAAGACACTAGCACTACTAGTGGTTATTTTAAAAATTATTTTATATTGTCAGTAAGTATTTATTTAAATAGATTTTTAATTATTTCTTTTCTTATATTTATAATTCAAAAACATTATTTTGTAAATTATAAATTTATATAAATATTTATAGAATATTTATATATAATTAATAATGAAGAAATAAAATTTCAAATTAATGATTTTAAAATTAAGTAATTTTAATTTTTTTCTAATTTTTTTTTTTTATTTTTATTCTATTCTTATTAATTATTTATACAATTATGATTTTTAAATTACTAATTATATTTTATATTTAATATTTTTTTATATAAAATACTAATGTACTATATCATAAAATTTTAATTAATATATTTCTAAATTAAATATCCAATTAAATAATAAAAAATATATATTAAAATATTATATTTATTTAATATAATCTAGTTTTATATAATATAATTTTAGATATATTATGTTTATATATATATAGTTAATTTGAAATAATATAGTAGTATAAGTAGTACATTAATAATATATAATATAGATATATGAATTTATTCATTAAATTATAATATTAAATTATATAACATTATAAAATTATAATAATTTTATTATATTTTCAAAAAAATATATTTAAATATATATCTCATACAAATTATATATAATCTTATAACATAGAATAATTTAAAGATAAAAGTTTAATAATTTATTTATATTATTATCTACTGAGTACATATTATATAATATTAAATCTAATTATAACATAATATTATATAATATTAAATATGAATTGCAACAAAATTTCATATAATAAAATAATAAATGACAAAAGATTAAGAGAAAAACAAAAAATTAAATATCATTTAATCACTTTTTTTATCACCGCTTGATTGAAGACATTTGCTATGTTCATCATTTAATCGATCATATTCTTTAGCAAGAGATTCAGCTTGTGATTTAATGGTTTCTTTATCTTTCTTTTCTTTTATAACCTGATCTTCTAATTCTTTATTTTTTGTTTGTAATTCTTTAATTTGACTTTTCCATTCTGCTATCTCTTCATTGTGAGCTTCATTAAAGTCATTCTGTGCATTTTCTGCTTTTTGTGATAGTAAATGTTTTGCTGTTGTAGTTGCAGATTGAGCTTGTCGCATAGCTGCTTCATTTTGTGCTAATAAAATAGCTTGTGCAGAAATTAAAGTAACAAGACGTCGTATAACAAGACTTAAAAATAATGCAAAACCACATATATAAAAATTTCGTTGCGCTCTAAATAATCTCATATTACCTATATAAAAGAAATTAATATATAACATTATAATTAAATTCTTGAAATAGATAAAATATTATGTATTATATAATAAAAATATAAATATACCTTGCATTTCAGTATCCAAATGATATTCTTTATGTTCAGTATTTGTAGAATATTTTCGCATTTCTCTAATAGCATCTAATAAAAACAAAACTAATATTCCAAGTAAAAGTAAAAAAAAAAACGTTCCTTGATTAGTTAATCTTTTTAAAAATTTAGATTTAAAAAACCTTTGCCATGTTAAAGGTGAAATAATTGGTAATAATAATAATAAAACTACTAAAATTTCAACATATAAAAATCCAGCTATTAAAGTCCATTGCAAACTCATGTTTTTTAGTTATTTTAATCTATTTTAATATCTAAAAAAATCACAAAAACATTATTATTTTATTTTTATTTTATTAAACATAATGCATAACATAAAAAATTATATAATAATAGTAAAAATGTACGATTTAATTTTTATGTAAATATATATATATATATATATATATACATAATACTGAAATTTTTTTGCTTTCAATAAATATTATATATTTAAATAAAATTCAATAAAATTATATATTTTTTTCTTTTTTTTACAATATAATTAATAATTATATTACAATTTATCATATAATTATATTTCAAATGACTATATATAATAATAAAAAATAAAAGTAAAAATAATGGAATTAAATTTAAAAATAAATCTTATCTATTTAAAACAATTATTGCATCTATAAATACTATCCAAATCACAAGTAATATTTATACATTTTATGTTATTATTATATATTTATATATTTAATATAATAAAACATAAAAATAATTTTAATATATTTTAAAAATTAACTGACCTTTAATTGTGGATATATATCTTGATTTATGCCTAAGATTACCAAAATAATCGAGTAATTTATACGAAGAATTGTGACAAGGACCTTTAAATTTTTTAATCAAAAAATCAATATATTGTGAATTTAGTAAACAATTAAGATTTACTTCATGTGAATTGGTGTTCATGAAATATTAAACCATCTGCTTATTAAAGTGCGCGAGAAATTGAAAACAACTATTTTTTTTTGTGCTGTGACAATTCTCATTATTATTCTATGAACACAATAATATTAACGTGGATCGTCATTAAGCAACATTCTTTTGGAAAGCAAAAAACTTACGATACTTTCAAAATGTGATAAGATTTTATTATCTAAATTTAGATCGCTAGCACTGCTCGTTATACATTTTGGGTGCTGGCGTGTTTATAGAAACAGTAGACAAGCAGTCGTCGCAATTAATACATGTGTTATCATGGATGTACGTATATAAGCAAAATTCAATGTAACAACAATTTTTATTAATATTTTGGAAATTAATAAATATCTAAAGCCAAAAGTTTATATTACAGTCTACCTCCCCTCCCTATTACTCTTCTTAAATTTCAAGTCCATCAGTTACCAGTGCTTCGGAAATAAAGCAAATCTGCGTAATTATTTTTTGTAATAAATAATTATATTATTAAGTATTCTATCATTTTTATTTAAAATTATTTAAATTATATGTTTAAAGAGAAATTGATTTTTATATTTACAATTCATATACTTATAATAAGAAATTTTAATATTACGAGAGAAATTGTAAACTTACCTTTATGATAAAATTTTTCTGCCATATGATATGTGTAGAAGTTATATATTTTCTACTTTAGAATACATTTAAATATTGTAGTGTATAATAACATAATAGAAGAGTATTCTTTGATATGTAAGTGTAATATTTTTTATTATGTATTTAAAAACAATTATTTTTTTAAATGTTTTAAATATTCTAATCATAATAAATAAAACATTAAATTTAATTGATATTGTTTTAAAATTTTTAAATTTTCATATTATAATAATTTTATTACTTACTAATCTAATTAATAATCTTATTACTAACCTTATGAACAAAAACTTTTAGATAGTTCATTGATATAGTAATCAAATAAGAATATAGAAATAATATGATATATATATATATATTTGCTATCACATATAGTCACTACTACTACTAATAAAAATATAGTCACTAACATTAATTTTAATTCTGTTAATATTCAATTATTGAAAGAAAGAAAGAATGTATAAATATTTACATATCATATATATCATTACATAAAATTTGGAAAAAATAACAAAAAAAATTATGTTGATATTCACAAAAATCTTTCAACAATTAATAACAAAAAATGCAGTTTTACAACTATGATTGAAAAATATTGTATAAGTATATAAAAATTTAATTAATTTCTAAAAATATAATTTTATATCAATGTATATTAATATTATATATGCATTATAAAATTATATTTTTGAAATTCAAATATTAATATATTTTAAAAATATTAAACAATGTATATTATTCATATTTTTTAGATAATAAATATATTTTCTATATTTTTCAGGTAATTAATTTTATATTTCATTCAATGAAAAAAAAATTTGTCTTATTAAAGATAAAAATTTGAAAAACATCAGGTGTGAATTTATTAAAAACAAGTTTAAACTGTTAATATGGGTTCTGGACAAAGTGCACGTAAACTTACTATAAATAATGAAGAAATAGATGTTATAGAAATATCAGAGTCTGTTGTGGAGCGATTAACTCAAAAAATGAATGAAGAAAAACCTAATGTAGCAAATGAAGTAAGATCTGCTACTTTAACAGATTCTAAAAAGACTCCATCTTCACAATTATCTCAGAGTGATATACCGGTGAATGCTGGATATCCCATATATCAGCCACAATTAACTTTAACTGCTCTTCAAATACAGCAACAGAAAGAAAAAGAATTTCGAAATCAGGATAATTATTGGCAAAAACGTTTGCAAGATTTGGAACAAAAACATTCAGAAATTAATAATATTATTAATGCAGAATATAAAAAAGCTGCAGAGCAATTAAATGCCAATGGTATGTTATTTATTATTTTTTAAAATATAAATAATTTACAAATATTATTTTTTAAAATATAAGTAATTTACAAATAATTTTTTTTTAGTTTATAACAATTAAAATATAAACTTTTTAATTTTAAATGTTATAAATATTTTAATTGTTATAAACTTGTTCATTAAATTTTAAAAAAATTTTTAAATTTTGTTCATAAAACTATTTTTGTTGTATGTATGTGTGTTTATTTTTTAATCAAGTTTCATAATTTATTAAATTAAAAATAGAATATTTAATTATATTTAATTATATATTTAATTATAAACATTATTTTATAAATTATTAATTTTAAACCATTTCTGAAAAGTAAAAAAAAAAAAATTTTAATTTCTATATATTTTAAATAAGAAATATTAAATTATTATACAAAAAATATTTTGAAATATTAAATACTATAAGTATAATATTTTTTATAATTAGAATTATTTGAATTGTATTTTACAATTATACAAGTTTTTTAATTTCAGTTTTGTAAAGTTGATATTCTTGATATTTTATTCATAAAGATGAAAATTGCATTTTTATACACTATATTAAAAAAAGAAGAAATTATTTTAAAAATATTAGCAAATCAATGAAAGGATTTGAAATATAATAAAATTATAAAATAATATATATAATGAAAATTATGTTATATTATATAATGAAATTTTTTGAGATTTTAAATAATTGAAACAAAATCATCTCAGAAAATAAGTCTAATGCAATAATTCAATTTTTGAGTATAAAAAAATTTATTCTCTTTTTTTTACTTTTTTCTTCGAATTTATCACTTTTTCACTCTACTACTTTCTCTGTCATATTATTCTAATGTTTTGCATACCTTTATTCTATATCAGCACCATCTTCTAGATATCTAATTCATATAATTCATATTTTTTTTTCCTCTATCCAATATTTATTATACTTTTAAATATTCTGAAAAGTTTACACTTCCAATTGTCATGAAATTTAAAGAGAAAAAGAAGAAAGGAAAGATGAATATTAAATCAAAAATTTTAGCTTTGAGTTTTTATTAAGATCAGAACAGATATTAAAATGAGAATTGATAACTTGATTTTAAAATGTAATGTCCTTATGAGATTTCAGATAAAAAATATTTTTCAAGAGAAATAATTTCGAATAATTGAAGTTACAATCATTAATTTTATTTGAGATACTTTACTGGATCTCTATTATATTATATATCATTGATTATTCTATACTTTATGATAATCAATAGTATAAAGAGAGTATTAATAATACCTGTGTATTATATTCAATATATTAGTTATGTATATAAACAAAATTTAATATATTATACAAAAATATATCTTTTTTAATATTTCAAAAACTAATAAATATTTGAAGCTAAAATTTTAGATTTAGTTCCCCTTCCATCCCTCCTCCTCCGATTTTTCCAAATTTTATGTTAATCACATAATCACATAATTTTATGTTAATTACATAACTTTTCAGAAATATGTTTCTTGTTTCGTTTATAAATATTCTTATGTTTATATTTTTCATTACATTTTTCTATTTTATTTAATCTTTCTTATTTGTTATATATATTGTACATATATATTTAACATATATATATTGTACACATATATATATAAATAATATATATATATATATTTATTATATTATATTTTTATTCTTATTTTAAATTCTCTATTTTTAATTAGTTGTATTTATCTTTAATCATTCATTCTTTTTTTTATTATTTCTTGTTTTATCTGTTTTCTTTTAAAATATTCAATCATTAATTTTATCTGTTTTCATCTTTTTTTATATTGCTAGTTTTAATTTCTTTTTTTGCATTTTGTTTAGTATTATATCTGGGTATACATCTATCCAAATTAGACATCATCTTATATATTTTAATTATCTTTTTCAGTTTGCTTTTTTCCTTCTACCCGTACTGTTCCATCCCATAAATCATCATGTTCCTTACAAGATAATTGAATATGATCATTCTTCTTAAATTTGTACTTAAAGTACTTTTTCCTTATGTTCCACATTTGTCTGGCTGCCAAATTTTTTTCTACCTCAGAAGATGTAAGTCTACTTCAATTTTATTCCCAGGTATACAAATTCATTTACTATTTCTAATTCTAGCTCTTCGCATCTCTTTACATTACTTTTTCTTATAACTTTTATCTTTACTAAAAACTATATATTATTTTTAATTTCCAATATAACACTCTACAATACTCTAGGAAAAATAATTCAATAAATGTTATTGATATAATTTATGATAGAATAATTTTTATAAATTTAAATATGTAGTTTCAAGTAAGTTTTTAAAAATATAAAATATAAAATTTAAATTATGGAAAAAAATAATTCAGAAAAAATAAAAAGATTTAAATAGAAATAATTCATAAAAATAAAATTATTAATAGAATATTTAATTATTAAATGATATTTTTTAAAAATGTAGTAAGTATGTAGTATATATCATATATATATTATATAATTTATGAAACTTTAATGAAACAATTAAACAATTGTTTCATTAGATTGAATTAATAAAATTCATATTTTAATCATAATTTTTCATATTTTTATGTTTATAATAGTTATGTAACCATGCATTTACTTATATTTACTTATATTTATATTTATATAATATTTATTATATTTATATAATTTTTTCATATGGTAACTTATATTTTATAAATGTAATAATTGTTTATCATATATACACATGCATATATACATAAATTATATATATATCATTATTATTTATTATATTATTATTTATTAATATATTTATGAAACAATAACTTTTAAAAAGTTGATTTTAAAAATTAAATAAATATAAAAATTGGTAAAATATCAATTGAAACTTATTTATTAAATTATCAGGAATTTAAGTTTATGTTTAAAAGATAACAAATGTAAATATAAGAAACTCATATTAACATTATATATTATAAAAGTTAAATTAATTTCTTTATTGTTTTTTTTACAGATAAGGATGGCATAAATGCTCAAGATACTATACAACCATGTAAAAGCAATTCTGATAAAGTATTCAGATGTTATCAAGATTATCCTAAGGAAATTTTAAACTGTTCTAGTTTAGTTGAAGAATTTTCTAATTGTGTAGATCAACGCCGAGCACAAGTGATTGCAGCACGTTAATGTATTTTGATATTAAATCATTGATAGTCTAACCAAATGTAATGTAATTTAATAATAAATTTTAGTTTTTGAAAATTAAAATAAATTAAAATAAATATATAATATATAATCAGATTTTGGAAATTTATTTTTACAATGTTACTAATAATATTTTAAAAAATTTAAATAATACAAAAGTTCAATCAATAAAAATAACTTAATTAAAATTAAGAAAAGAAAAAAACAAGTATGAAATATTTAATGTCAATAATTCTATTAATATTAAAGTATTATAGAATATATTTCTTTTAATTAAATATATAATATATATATTTATATATATATATATTTATAATATATTTCTTTTAATTAAAAATAATGGAATATTATAATTTTGTATCAACAAAATATTATTTTATGTTAAAATTTTATTAATAACCAGAAATATAATATTTATATTAATAATTATAAATTATTATTATAATACATTTGATGCGCATATTGCTATAGATATAAAAATATTTATGAAATTTAATGTAGTTGCATTATTTTTTATAAGTATTTAGAAAATTAAAATTAACAATTAAACAACGATTACATATAAGGTAAAAATTACTTAAAATTTTATATATTTAAAAATTTATTATAAATATATATATTATATATATCTCTATAATATATTTAAAAATCATCAAAATTCATGGCCTCATATCCATAGATTAACTAAGTTTTGTTTAAAATTGATCAGTTTAATCAATTACCATGTATAACAATTTAAAGAATATGATTTCGAGAAAAATGTATTTCAATAAAATTTTAAAATATTTACAATCTGAATTTTTTTAATTTTCTCATTAATAATTATTCTCTCTTAATAATTATTAAGATTCATATCTTATGAAGATTATTTCAATCTTTGAAGATAAACAACGATATATATCAATATGTATAAATTATTATGTTGTCCATGCATCTCAATTGCACTTCATGAATATTGCAGATATATTATTGTAACATTTTATGCTTACATTTATTATTATATAATATATATTGATTGATATATGTGCTTGTTTTTATAAAAATATTAAGTTTATTAAAGTCAACCAATTATATCTACATTCTATTCAAATCTTTTTTTACAGCAGATCTAGAAAATTTATATTTATCCCTATAAATGATTTGCTGACACTCTATAGTTTTTTTCTTCTATATTTTCTTGAATTGAATGTTATAAACATTTTATTTTCTGAAGCATATTGATAAAAGAACTTGTTAAGAAAGATAAATCTATGAGAAAGAAATTTGCACTTTTTCTCTACATATATTTATTAGTATAGTAAATACTTAATACTTATGTCCATATTCTAATGACAAAGCAATTTTACTATATTCAATTATATATACACAACATATATATTAGAGTCTAGATAATCCATTTACATCTTATATACAGTTTAGATCACATAAAAGATCATATAAAAAAGCCGGTGGAAATATACATTTCAAGTCTGACGTTTGTCTTATATTAGTTTTAGTATTTTTTCAATATTTTAGATATTAGAATTAATTGCCGGTATGTATCTTTTAATATTATTTTTACTAAAATAATATAATTTTTAAAATTATTCAAAATAATTATAATACAATAATTATTGCTAAATTTATTACATCATTGCAATTTTTATCAATTTGGTACTTTAAGACTAAATATATTATTATTAATTATTAAAATTATCAATGTATTAGTTAGATAATATTAATTTGAAATATTTTCATGAAATATTATAAATTAATAAAAATTCATTTTATTTTTTTTTAAATGTAAATAATTAAATATAAATGTATTATATAATTTTTAATAAATTAAAAGATTAGATAAAATATGTAATTGTTCAAATAAATCTAGAATATTGGCTATTCTGATGATGAATTCATATTCATTTACAGATATTTAATTAAAATATCTAATAGTTAAAATATAGGTTAGTTTAGATTTTGAATTCAAAATAATTTTGATTATAAATATCATTTCTAATATATATACTATATTTAAAGATATTCAGAATAATTTTAATAGATAATGTTTATTCTTTTAAATTTTATTATTTATTATTATAGAGTTTGAAAATAATTTTTATTAAAATTATTTATTTAAAATTATTTAAAATAAAAAATTTATTAAAGTTAAAATTAAATAATTATTAATATTTTATCAAAATAAAATAAAGGTTATATTTCAAAATATTTCATTAAAATCAATAAAACTTTTATTAAAAAATTTCATTATTATATAAAAAAATTTCAGTATTGCTATAAATTTGATCATTAAACTTTTATTTACATTAAAAAAAATATAAAATTGCTACATATTTTTTTATAAATAGATTTTAATCAAATTGTTTAATAATATTTATTCAAATTAAAAAATATAGAAAATGAATATTTAATTTAATACTTAATATTCATGTTCTACTAAATTAGTTCAAATTTTATTATAAATATTCGTATTTATTTTTAATATTGTAATTTTGTTTTTTTTCGTATTTATAATAATTTTTTCTTGGAATTTTTTTAGATGTGTTTATAAATAAAAACAATGAGTTTGCAGTGGACTTTAGTTGCTGTATTTCTTTATATTGAAATTGCAGTAGTATTATTATTGGTTTTGCCAATAATTTCTGCATCAAGATGGCAAAAGTTTTTTAAATCTAAATTTTTAAAAAGATTAAGTAATCAAGCATCAATTTATTTTTTAATTTTAATTGGAATCTTAGTTTTGTTTTTATTAGATGCCATTAGAGAAATACGAAAATATTCTATGATTGATGAACATAAAGAACATCATTTAGATGCTGAAATGCAAGGTACATATTTATATTTTTATTATAATATTACATCTATTATATCAGGTATATTATATATATATGATTATATATAATATAATATATTATATATTTTTTATCTATTTTAAAAATCTAATCTAATTATAATGTTATTTATCTTATCTTATTTATTAAATCTAATCTAATTATTATATTATTTTATATTTTAGGTAATATGAGATTATTCAGAGCAGAACGAAATTTTTATATATCTGGTTTTGCATTGTTTTTATGTCTTGTTATACAACGACTTGTGATTTTAATTTCTAAACAAGCTACTTTATTAGCACAAAATGAAGCAGCTATACGACAAGCACAATCTGCAACTACAACAGCAAAGCAATTATTGTCACAAAAAACAGAAAGTACACAGAATGATTTAAATGAAGTTCACAATGAAGAGATAACAGAATGGAAAAATCAAATTAAAGACTTACAAACAAAAAATAGAGAATTGGAAGATCAGCTTATAAAAGAAAAGAAAGATAAAGAAGCTATGAAATCTCAAGCGGAATCTCTTGCTAAAGAATATGATCGCTTAAATGATGAATATAATAATCATCTTCAATCAAATGGTCATAAGAAAAGTGATTAAATATTTTATTCTGTTATTTTTCTTTTACTTCTACTTTTAATTTTAATTATATTTTTTAATTTTAAATTTTATTATTAAAGGTGAAATATTTGAGGTGATAACTTTTATTGTAGAGGAAAATAATTGTTTTAAATTATTATATATACTTGAAAAATTCTAACCAAAATAATTTTAAAAAATTGAAATTGAATATTTTTGAAGCATATTATTCTGATTCTAACAGTTCAAAATTTATTATATATTGTTTATAATATATATATTGTTTATATTAAATATTGTATTAATTTATGTTATATAAATATATATTGATATGCTTATATATTGATATTGTACAATATTTGATATAAGAGATATTTATATTATAAGTTATAATATATAATTATTGTTAATTTCTTTTATGAATTATAAATCGATATTATAACTATTTAAACTTTATTTTTTCACAATTAGTATATAGAAAAGAATATTTATTCCTAAAAAGTTTTTAGAAAGAGATAAAACAATATTTTATTTTGTTTATTTTTTTTTTTGTTAATTATTTAGTTTTTATTATATAAAATTTCTAATTAGTTAATTTTAAATAATTAATTAAATAATTTTAACGGGTGTCAGAACTACTAGCCATCAAGAGCTTGAGTTTGAAAACATTAATTAAAAAACTATTATAAATATTATAAATAACAATTAAAAATATATGTGTCTATATATAATATCAACAATTTTAGAATATTCCATGTTTTAAATTTGTCAGATAAAAAAGAAAATTCTATTATATAAAATTTGATTGTTAGTGGTGGATTTAGCAGCTTTAAAACTGATAATCATGAAAGATTACCATGCATGCTGATAATAGATTAATATAATTTTTATTATTTTTAAAAAATATTGAAAAAAATATGTTGTAAAATTATACAAAGCTGTGTACGAAGAGAAATATTCTTAATATTTTCAAATATAAAAATTATTTTAAATATTTTATTTATTATTATTTTTTTTGAACTTATTAATAGAATTTAATTTTTTTTATATTTAAAAAAAAATTATTCTAAAAATACATTATCAAAAATTTAATAATATGGCACTATTATGTAAAATTAAAAGTATTATAAATTAACAATATATAAAATAAAAAGCATTATTAAGAATATATAAGAAGAAAATACAAAGCAAGAAATATTAGCAATATTAATATTGCAAAGATAATTCATGAAATAAAAAAAAATTTGCTTAATATATCAACTGTTTGTAAAAATTTTGCTTATTTTTATGCTCTAATATATATTTTATATTCTAATATATAATATAATGTTTTTGTATATCTATTGTTCTTTTTATGTTATTATATATAAATCATATGCAGTCTTATTGTCATATGTATATTTATTATATTTCATATTTTATTTGATATTATATTTTTTGATTTTATATATTAAAAAAAAATATATAAAATTAATTGAATTCTATATTTTGTCTGTTTCTTTAAAATCCCAAAAATTATATTACTTTAGAGAATTTTTTTAAATCCACCACTTTGTAATTCATAAGAGCAAGAAGAAAATATGAAAATATTTGTGAAAAAGAAAAAAAATGGCAAAAATATAATAATTAAATGAATCAAAATTAAGTTTAATAAAAAGAAAAAAAAAATAAATCTTGACAAGAATTGATCAAAAATGAAATAAATAAGGGAAAATCTGAAAAGAAAATCTTTGATAAATAATAATAAAAGAAATTAATTTTTTATTACTTTTTAAGTATTTTTTATCTATATATTCTTATCTATATATTTTATAAATATATTATAATGTAATTAATCTATTCGTCAATGCCTGTCAGATTTTCTAAAAAACAAATATGAATCAACAGAATTAAAATAAATATAATTAATGAATATAAATTAAAATATACAAAAAAATATTTAATTATATAATTTTATTTATTTATAATTTAATTATATAATTATAATTATATAATTTTAATTTAAATTATAAATAATAAATTATAAGTAATAAAAATTGGCCGATTTTGAATAAGTTACATAATTAAAAACATAATTACATATATTTACATTAGAATCATGATATTGTATAATATATATATATGTGTGTGTGTATATGTGTGTAACAATATATGTACAATATATTAATATTTATTTATTATAATTTATTATATTTATTATTATATAATATGTATTATATCTTTGTTATATATATATATAATATATATATTGTTATACATATTATTATACATATAATATATATAATAAGGATTTCGAAAATCTGGATAAATTTAACTGATAGGATTGCAGCAATCGTATATAAATTAAAGATTGTAATATAATATATATAATATATATATAATATATATAATATATATAATCATCTTAATCATCTTAATTATCATGTTTAATAAAATAAATAATTGTAAATAATAATATTGTATGTTCTATTTAATCTTAAAAATACTTTTAAATTAAAATATTTATAAGATTAATTTAAATATAACTATTTTTAAATCATCGAAAAAATTAATATTTTTTAAATATATAATTTATAATTATATACAAGATTTGTTTTGTTTTGTCCAAGAGGATGGCAGATTATGATATCAAGGTTTGATATAAATTTGGTATCAAAAATTGGTATAAGACTTATTATTTATTTTGATACACAGATAGATATATTTGAATTTATAATTAAATTTGATATTAATTTGTAGATATTGGGTATTAATTTAATGCTATGTTGTAATCAAATTTTTGAAATAAAAAACACTATCTAAACTTTTTGAAAATATGTTATCTAATAAAAATTTCATTTCTTATATTTGATAATATTTGTAAATGAAAATGAGATTCTATTATTTATTTTTATGGTTTTATTATATTTAATAAAATATAAATATTTGTAAAATGCAATTATGCAGATATATAATATAATTTTAATATATATGCTATTACTCACTATATATGCTAAAAATCATTAAAAAGGGGTTTTTTGAGCTTTAATGAAATTTAAAATATAACCAAAAGTAAGTATTTTCACATGGAAAAGTATGTACTTAAATATATATATATATGTATATCTAAAAATTGATTTTAATTTGAAAGTGATATTTTATTATTACTTGTATATTTAGACAATAAACATTGACATTGCTGTGAATTTGTTCATAAATATAATTGTATGTACATATTATTAACTATAATTATGATATAAAAAATATTATTTTTAATAATAATTTATATTTACATATATATATATATATATATTTTTTTTCTTTACTATTATAATTAGAAATTATTTATTTATGAGAAATTATATATAAAAATTTATTTTGTTTAGATTTTTTAAAATAAATATGGCTATTTCAAATGATGAAAAGGTAAATTTGCATATTCTTATTATTAATTTATTACTATATTATCAAAATTATATTTTCATATTATTTACTTTAGATAGAGGCAATCAAATTTGCTAAAGAATATCATCAAAATTATTATGAACTTCTTCCTGATTGGTTTCAATATGATTTTGAAAATTATGAACTTATAAGACATAAAATTGGATATGCTCTATTTGGTCTTCCTAAAATAGATATAGACGCTGAAATTTCAAATATTTCTATAAGTTGTACGAGTGATAATAATCAATCAGAATATATATTTAAAAAAATAATATATGACAAAACAATGTGCAAAGTTATAAATACAATATATGAAAAGATAATAAAATATGGAAAAGACAACAATAATAGTTCTATTTATATTGGAATTATATTTAATATAATATTCTTACAAACAAAAGTTTCACAGAAATCTAATGAAAAAGATAATGCATCAAACAAAGAGAATAATAACATATGTATTTTACCAATATTTAAATTAAAAACATTACAATATGATACATGGTTTATTGATAATGAGGGCAGAATTTATAAAACTTGGAAAGATTACATATCAAATAATACATTACCTCCATGTACTATGATTTTACCAAAAAATGGTTTATATCAGTGTAATCCAAATTATAAAGTAACAGAATATTTTTCAAGTGTATGGATTGAAATATTAGATTCTCCTGCTTGTACTTTTAAAAATAAAGTTCTTAAAGGTATTGATGTTGCTGTAAATGCAATGTCCATAATTAGTAATATTGGACTTAGTGCTGCTAGCTTTTTAACACCTATTGGACCAGCTATTCTCACTACAGGTATAAATTATTTTATTTATTCATAAATAAAATAATCTATCATATATTTTTATTTGATTGATATTTTGATTGCTAGGTTTAATTCATGGTGGAATTTGTGGGACATGGATTATTGTTAGAAATTCACAGAAATTAATAGATCTTGCTACACATAAACAATCCATCAATCCTATAAATAAAAATGCATTCTCTGCTTGGTTTGAAGTAAGTAGTACAGCTTTAACATTAGGAGCAAATAGTGGAACTATGCTTATCTCAAAGGCTCTTTCAAGAGGCTGTACTATAAGTGCTGCAGCTAAAGTAGCTTATAATTCTGTGATATTGAGCAATTTAACAGTGAATGGCGCTAGTGTAATTTACCAAGGATATCGTTTAATTGAAAAGTATAAGATGGAAAAAAATGTTGATCTCATAGATATAGCTATTTTTAGTTCACAAATTTTATTCTTTAGTAATACTTTAATAAAAACCAAATTAGCTAGTGAACTCATAGTATCATCTAAAGGTACTATTCTTGAAAAACTCAAGAACGCTTTACGAGTTAATCGTTTAAAACAGGAATTTAATAAAATAAAAGCATACAGTACTAAAGAGGTACAAAATAAATCTGAAAGTATTATATATAAGATAAAAGAATTTACTAATAAAGAAGATTTCTTAAATAGTTTAAGTAAAATGAATTGGAAAAATAAATTTTCAATAAAATATCAGAATGGCAATATTGTTATAAATAATAAAATATTTATACATCCTCTTCAGTTTACGACTCACTTATTGACGATTGGTGCAGTCACATTTAATTTAATAGATCCACATTCATCGATAGTATCTAAAGAAAGAAATTATATAATGATTAATTTAAAAATTCTAATAAAACAATTGTTAAAAAATTTTTATGCAGAAAAACAATATTCAGATGAAACAATTCCCGATGTTAATTATTTTAACGAAATATTACAAGAAATAAAGTACATGGATAACGCGGTTGATGTATTAAGTAAGTGTTTCAAAATTGCTGTAATTATAGTAGAACATTGCAATGATCCCCGGCAATTCTTATGTGATGCTGTTTATTTCTCATGGATATATTGTAAAGGAAATTTAAATAAATATGGTATAAACATTGGCACTACTTCTAAGAACAAAATATTTAATGAATTAGCAAGAATTGTTACGTTTTTATATGAATGCATCGAGGTAATAGCCAATGAATTATTTTCAGCTTTTTATGCGTATATATCAACCACAAAACCCGAAATTAATAATTATATCATGTTAAGTGATAATTAGACTGTATAAAATATATATGCATTTATGCAAAATTTAAATATATAAAAATCTAGAATAGAATAGAATACATATTACATGCAAAAAAATATATAAATATACAGAATATGCACTATGATATTATATTATATTTAGAATATGATATTTAAAACAAATTATTGTATTTAAATAAAATGATTTTTTTATTTTATTTTTAACTTTTATACGTTTCATATGATGATCTGAAAATAAATAAAAAAGAAAAAAATTTTATTTTTGCACAGAAGTGAAGGCATTTGTTTATTTCATTTCTCCCAAATATTTAAATACAACTCACACAAATATATACAGACGATACTGAGCACATTTACAATTAATTCATCTGATCATTGGTCGCATTATCATTTAAGACATTCATAAAATAAATGTTGCAATTGTCATCAATTTAAAAAATATGGATTGTATCGTAATATCGTATGGGTGCAAATTAATAATAAATTAAAAATTGACAAAATATTCAAATAATACAGCTTGTATCACGTAATATTAAAAATTTTCGTCAAATGAGCAAGACTGAATTCTCGGCCTTTTGAATTAAAAAATTTGTAATAAAATTAATCGAAGAATTCTAAATTTATGACATTCTGTACTACGAATTATCAAATTTTCATCACATATATAACATTTGAAGAACGTGCACCGTCCCGCGAATAAATTTATGAAACATCGTTGCCCATCGAATCTTATTTAATTATATATTGACGGGATGTGACGTTATAACCTAAATTAATTTATTCAAATAAATTACTTAGGTATATAACAGACAAATGAATAAATTATACCCTCAGTATTAATTCATCATTTATCGATCACTAAATGACGATAATACTGATCCACGGGTTAAACAAATTTACGGATCGAAAAAAATCTAATTTAATTATATAATTTATAACTGAATATAAATACATACAATAAGAAATTCTACAAATAAATATTAATTATTGAAATTTTTTTATCTACAAAATATATCATTTCATTACGCAAGCGTAATTAGAAGAATAAATCTTGACGTGCGATTCGATTCCGGCAATTTTCTCTAAACATGAGAAAAATATTTTACGTTGATATTAATTATTATAATAATTTTATAATAATCGTTTTATAATAATTAATATCGTATACATACGGCGTATATAAATACATCGTTGATTATAATCGGCACATGCACGCTTTTTCTTTTTTTTTTATTTTTAACAATTATATAATTAATTACATCATAACACGTATTTTTTAAACGATGATCACCATTCGAACTCTGGTGTTATATTCTGGTGTTTCTGTAAATAATATTACTTCATTCGCTTATCTATCGTTTATTCGCAAACATCATTTACCTATGTGCGTTGGAAGAGATAAAAGAAAAAAAAATATTTTATCTCTTTCTCTCGCATATCTGTACTATTTCGTTTCGTTATATATTATGTACAACTATTACGGAAACGAGAATGCAGAAAAAATAGGTTTCTCAAATAAGATTATGCACGATTTGTATTCGCAAAAATGCAGAAATGTATATGTGTATATCATATTTCGATTATTTTCTTTTCTTATTTTTTTTTTTATTTTTTTTTTATTTTTTTATTTTTTTTTTTTACATTAAAACTGATTGCAGTTTGGTCGTCGATTTATTTTTAGCTAACTATTCTAAATTTTTTCGTCGATAAATAAAATAGGTTTTTACCTATTATCTTCTATTTTATGATTTCTCTCAAGAAACAATGATTGGAATGTATATATGTGTTCATTGAATCTGTATTGAACGTGTTCGAATGTAATAAATTTGATGGAAGCCCCTGCATGCTTCTATTTCTTTGATTTTTGCAATTTTTAAGTAGATATAGATAGATTTTACTTGCAATCGAATCATTAAATATTAATATTATCAATATTATCAATATTAAATAATATTTATATATTATATTTAATATGTATATTATTTATATTAATTATTAGAATAATTATTATTAATATTGATAATATTAATTATCAACATTTTTATAATAATATATCAATTAGAATATACAGAGTATCTTAATTATTTGATGAATTTTTTTTTTTTTAATCTTTTGAGCTTTTATTTCAAAAGATCAAGAGCTTCCAAATTCGAACAACAGTCTTATAATTAATTCTAGAATTCAATGCTGATTAAATAACTTCCTAACATTATGTGAAAAGGTGACTGATATTATGTGCACGAACGCGGCTATTAATTATGTTATTATACAAATGAAAATTTTGAAATGGAATGAGGAATAAAATTCGAACTCGAAAAATCGCATAATTGATGTACAAAGTACAATTCTCTTTTCTAATTAGTCGTATAAAAACTTCGTTGAAATGTGTGTTTAATAAAAATAAAAAATAAAGAAAAAAGTAAAAATACAATTAAAATATACGATAAAAATATAATAAAATATTATAAATATATTGTAAATATATTCTCAAATAAACATTATATTTAAACAAAATAATTTTTTCATTTTTCTCAATGAATAATTTTATTATTTGATATATTTATGAAAATTGTCCTTTTTAAAATTCAACAAATTGTACTCAAATTCAACTCTTTTCTGTTAAAATAAAAAAAAATCAATTAAATTAATAATCAAATATTTAATTAAAATATATTGATTATTCATAACGACTTACAAAAAGATTTTAATCTTTATCTTAAATTTTGTTTAACTTTGAATGTTTATTTTTTCTTTTTTAAATGAAAATTCTTTTTCTCTTAAATGAACAAATTTTTTTCTTTAAATATGGTTTATGATAATTGACTATAAAATGGAACTCAATGAATATTAACCTATTTTTAAATTAAAACTTTAAACATTTAATCTAATACTTTGCTTATACACGCAATAAAAATGTAAAACAACATATTAAAAATTGGGAATTCCCAAGTAAATAAATTTATTATTAATTAATAATTTATACCAAGATATTCATATCATTATATTATATTAACATATTTGTAAGTCAGATGACGAATTAACTCGTTTAATAGATTAAATACTACAAAAATGATTTTAGATATATATATTTGGAGTGCATTTAATTAATTTATAGGATAATTCGCTTCGTGATATTAAAATTAATTGAAATTAGATGGAATAATTCTTCGTGACAATGTTTCAAATCCTTCGAAAGTTGTAATACGACCAGAGTCGAGGTTTCTTGTTAAAGTCTCTTTTATACGATAGATCTTTTTAGAAGTTTCTTTTCGAAAAATCATAGTTTTGAACGTTCGAAATAGATGATTATTATTCTTATGTCCCCATATATAGGCACAACAGGTTTTTTCATTCAAGTTTGCCGATTGTTACACAATTATTTTGATCATTATATACTGATTATTTTTGATACCACGATATGATACTATTAAAATTAATTAACCCTTTCACCTTTATCGAATTATTTTAATAATATTAATGTATAATATAATATAATCGATAATTTGAATTATTATTTATGTTAATTTTTATTATAACAGAAATATAGTTTGTGTTTTTACATCTACTATTTTATATAATAACAGAATATAAATTATTTGTACGAAATAAGGATGATAATATAGAATTAATAATATGCTTTATGATTTTTTAAATAGATGATATATTATAAACATTATATCATTATGTATTAGAATTTGTGTTTATAATAAAAAATATGAATTCTCTTTTAATTGAATCAGAGATTTCGAATGATTTAAGAGAATTGTTGCAATATCCTATCATATGATGATATATAATTTAATATTAAAATACATTATAAATAATATGTATCATACAAAATTGCATGAGTCAAGTTACAAATATAATAACACAATAACAAGACAAATCTCGAAAAATCATCAAAAATGTACATCAATTCAAACATTCCTCTTACAAATCATCAAACCATCGATTCATTGGTGAAAGAGTTAAGAGTTCATCATCAATCATCGAACAATCCCAGTTCTCGTTCCAAGCTAAATCACAGCTCAGGTAACACCCGATTTGTCACCAACGAAAAATACGATAATAAATAACGCCATTGGAAACGAGATCGTACGATTCGTCGCGAATCGTCATTGTATAATAACACGTCACCGTGTACATTCTCGAAGCCAGCTAAGCTAAATAAGTCCTAGGGCTCGGCTTTGGATTGTCGGAATCGTCTTTCGTGGTGCACGACCAGGCTTCCTCGGCCAAGCTTCCGTATCTTTGAACACCAGGAAACGGCGGCCCGGTGCTTTGAGGCGAGTAATAACCGCCCTTCAACTGATAATAGTTACCAGTCTGTTGATATTGATACTGGTCGCCGTGTAGAACGTTGCTATAGCCTGAATACGAGCCGTATTGCGAAGAGGAATACGACGAGGAGTATCCTCGCTCGCTCAGGCTTCTATAAGGCCCCGAATGTTGGGGCCTACCCTCCTGTCAAACGGGGGTGCTCACTGCCGCGCTTGTTATATAGTCGATGTCGCCTATGCTCTTCACCCTACGGTGTCTCTTGTTGCCTGTGATGGGTCTGGGCGGCAATTGCGGGGGTGGCGGTGAGTTGCTCCTGGCGCTGCTCATGTACTGGCTGGCGAGGCTTCCGGTGTCCGACGAAGACGATGGCGAGGCCTTTTCGCTCCTGGGTCGTAGACCAAAGGCTCTGCTCAACGATCCCTGTTGAGAGAAGTGAATTGTTGAATTAGTTAACTGAACATTTGGAATTTTTTACGATGGCCTCCATTTTTAACATAACATGGGAAATACGGTAGGTCTCATATCGATATATATGTATATATATATATATATATATATTTGGAGGGGAAATATTGTGGAAAAAATATTTGAAAGTTTTTCTTGATGTGATATTGTAGAAATATTTTTTCCAATTTTTTTGAGATATTTTTGTCGGGGTATCGAAAAAAAAATTTATTGTAATTCCTGGACAATATTGAAAATTTTTGAAATATAAAGATTTCCATTCATATATCAATTTTCGAACGACCATTTACATATAACAAAAACTTTATTCATTTCTAAGAAAATTAAATTTAATTCAATTTAAAAGATATATTATTTGATGAAATAATAATATCTAATAAAATACGAATGAAAAGATTTTAATATTTATATTAAAAGAAAATAGAGGATTAAAGTTTTCTTACGGTGATAAACACATTTAGAAAAAACGTTTAGAAAATTTCATTCACAAATGGAAATCACTATTTTTTTGCACTTAAAAATTTTTTCTTTCAATTATTCTATTAAATATATATACTATTATATTCTATATATTCTATTAAATATATATTTTATTAAATATATATAGAATTTTTCAATTATGTTTAGGAACTACTACAGAAATTTTTCAACTATGCTGGTATAGAGGCCTACTATATTTCGAAAGATCAATGGATCTCGACTTCCTCGGGGGGACGATGCTACGAGCAAACGAGCTATTGAGGTGTTCAAGATGCCGGGTCTGTGAAATTTAAGAATAAAATGTATGGAAAAATGATTGTTTGTAGCTGAATTGGTTGAGTCTGCAGTTTCGAAATGTTTCGAAACTAAATTTTTTTTTATAACCCTTCGTTTTTTTTCAAAAAAGATTTGAGAATTCCTGTTACTTACGTAAGTTTCGAAACAGTTTCGTTGAAAAAAGGTAAAGAAGAAATGAGGGATGATTGAGTGCGATCAGAAGCTAGGGATGCATGTGCAACGATAAAGTAAACAAAAGAGTTTCTACTTTTTATTATTCTAATATTTTTTTTTAAATTGCTCAACTAATTTATTGAATAACATAAGTCACGATCTTGCAAGGTTGAAAGGTTGCTTGCTAATAATAATTCATCACACTAAAAAATTCATCTTGACAATCGATCATTCATTCATTGAAAAAAGGATAACTAAAGAAAGAATAAGAAAACTAAAGAAATGATTACAATTTTCTAAAAAGGAGAGAAAAGAAAACAAGCAATGGAAATTAAAGTATCTTGCATGTAATGAAAAAGGCTAAAGAAGAATTAATCAAAAATTGGCTAATGAGGAAAATATAATTATTGTGCAAAAATTTTCGACTATCTATCTTATTGATTTTATAATAATAATTAAATAAATAGGTATATATTTTGAAGGTTTCTATATGTTATATAGAAATTTATTTTAGAAACTATAATAAAGAAATTAATAAAAAAAAAAGTTAAAAATTGAAATTTTTTTGATATATTAAGAAAACAATAACAGAAAATATAAAATAAAATTATTAAAAAAGAAAAGAAGCAAAATCATATAATATTTTAATTATTTTAAATTAATTAATATTTTTTAAAGTTATTACTTATTTTAGATATAAAATATCTCAAGATATAGAATTAAAAGACATTATGTGCGTCTTACATTCATTTAAAAATAAGATATAGAAATAAATACTTTTTATAGTAGTCAAAAATATTTATACTCATATAAATATTCAAAATACTCATACTTACACATTTTTTTATTCCATAGAATTTCAAGTTATTCCTTACAATCGATTAAATTAATTTAATAAAAATTTTTGCTATTTGTATTTATTATTAATAATAAAATAATTTTATTATTGACAATAAAATTTCAATAATTTATATCATATCTATTAAATAGCCTGATTAGCCAATTTTTATGTGATTATATTTATAAAAAAATTCTAAAAAAAAAAGGATACACAATTTAAAATCGATAATCACAACTACGAAATAATTCATAAAGGAAAAGATTGCAAGAAAAGAAACAAACGTATCAGTCATATGCGCAAGTAGATTATGACAAGCATACCTGTGAGCTCTTCCACGACAACTAGTAAAGGACGAAACAAGGCGGATTAAGAACCCACATCGTGAATTCCACATTGAAATCATCAGTTTATATTTACACAATAGCTCGTCATTGTTATAATCAATTATCTTTAAATTGCTAAAAATTCGAGCGTTCGTACGCTTTGCCTTTTGTATCCTGTTTTTTTCTCTTTCTCTCTCTCTCTTTCTCTCTCTCTTTCTCTCTCTCTCTTTCTCTCTCTCTCTCTTTTTTTATCCCTTTCTTATTCACTACAATAATCAACCCTTAAAAACAGGACACTCTAGTTAACATACATGAAAAAGGAAAATGTGATAATCGTTGCTTTTGTATGTACAGTGTATACAATGTGGCGGCGATGCATCAGCCTTTAAAAGCCTTTAAAATTTATTATGTAATTGTTAATTGATAATTAAGAATCGGCAGTTATACTTTGTATCGTAGTTCATCGAACATTCTAACTAAAATAAAATTATAAATAATAATTTAAATAAAAATGAAAGAAAAATTAAATTCAAATTTTTGACTCAATTCTATCTTTACTTTTATGAAATATTATACTAATTGATGAATTATTTTTAACTGAGATTATTGAATCATTAAATGACTAAAAAAAAAAAAATTAAAAAAAAAAGTTAAATTATAGACAAATTATTATTATATGATTTTTATCATAAAAATAAATATAGAATACGAATTAAAAATTAATTAATTTAATTTTATAAATCATTCGCGATCAGTTAAATTATAAATTAAATTATTATTTTTTGATTGATCAATTTTCCAAAAAAAATGAGAAATTAAGATTAAAAAAAAAATTGCATTTCTATAAGATTCGATGAATTACGATAAAATATATTCAATAATTCGTATATATTTAATTAAATTTGACTAGATTAAGCTCATCTTTTGCGAATTTGCTTTTGCGATGACGTGCTATAATAATTAATTCGCTGTATTCGTATTCGAAGAGAATCGTCAACGATGGTTTACAAGTTTTACAAAGATAGATAATTAAAAGTACAAGGGTCGACTGTTTTGCGTAATTCCTACAAATGCAGGCGATACGATTACGCTCGTACCCTGAATCAGTCAGTCTTTTTCTTTTTTTTTTCTTTGATTTTTAGTTTGAAGAACAATTCCAAATTATTTTCGAAATCGAAAAAGAAACAAAGTTTATCTCTCAGACTCGTCGGACTGACGACGAAAATTTTTCACGAATTTTCATTCAATCTTTTCCTATATCACATCCCCGCAAGAAAAATGTTACGAAAATATTTAGTTTTTTCGAAAAGCAAAAATAATAACATATTTTTTTAGAGATCATTCTGAGCAATGTATATTACAAAGTGTTAATATATTCATGAAAATGTTGATCCATTTCGCTTTTGAACTTAATAAATAAGCCTCAATTGGAATTTTTATTTATTTGTTTTGAGCTCTAGAATTGACACTTTAAAAAAATTATCTCACGAATATTATGAATTAATTTTTTTTTTTCGAAATATGAAAGTGATATAAATTATAAATAATCAAATGTATTCGAGGTATTTAATTTTTAATAATATTTATTTGGAATTATATTCTATATTGATATTATAATGTTGATTTACAGAATGATTAATAGACACGTAACTTTTCTCAATTTCTTCTGATCGATGGATAAACAGAGAGTGGAATTTCTAAATCTCTTTGTACATTTCTTTATATTTTTTATATGGATCGTCATCAATATAAAATGTAAAATATTTCAGAATATCTTGAAAATGAATTAAGCCATAATAATATGATATTTTTTATTCAAAATGATCCCTTAAATATGTTGATAAAATTTATTGATTTTTATCTGAATATCCTGTATATGAAACATGCATTATCAACTCCATTTAGGTTTCCATCGAATTATTTAATTCTTAAATGATTAAGAATTAAATTAAATGAAGTATTAAATTTTTTTTAGAAAATGGAATCGATCAGTTTCGATTTCTGAGTAATTCGTATTACTGTCGATATTATTAAACAAAATTAAAATAATGATTATCTTAAATATTGAATTTAGATATTAAATTAAATCGTACTTTAATGGGTCAGAAGATATTTCACGCAATGAAATGAAATGAGAATTGAAAATTCGTTTAGTCAAGTGACAATTCTCTTGTGGAAGTGTGATATGGTGACGACCATTACGTCGAATTGTTGTAATGCCGCGTACTCATTTACTCGTATTTTCGAAGTCCGTACGATCGAGGTCGAGATCCATGAGAATCGTCTACATTTCAGCTGAGTGTCCAATTAATTACAACATCATGGATCGAAACGAACATTACAACATATTTGAATGGATTGTCGCAAATTTTTTTCAGACACTTCGCTAAAATCCAGACATTTGAAATTTACGAGGAGACATCTGAGAGAGCGCGAAGGATGCCTCCCCGTTTTGAAAAATGCTCTAAGACATGTGCATGAATATCTACTATGTTCTCAATAAAATCTGGAACGTGTAAGATCGCGATGAATTGCTTCCGTGAAAAGTATTCATTTGAACTACTTATTAGAATATTTTTAAATTTTCAATAATTGTATCCGAAAAATAAAAATTAATATACGTTTCTAAATTCTATTTTATATATGTAGAATGTTTTAAATTAAACTACACAGTAGCAATCATCGTTTCCTTTACTCCTTCCTTCACATAGCTGTTCTCTCGAAGTTTCCTCGTGCATATATTTATATTTTAACTTTTTATAATTTCAAATTTGAAATTTCAATTATAAGAAAAATAATAATAATAATAAAAAAAGAAAGGAAACGTAATTTCTTATAACTCGAGCAATCAAACAGAGGAAACTTCGAAGAGGTAAAATGAACGCAACCTCAGGTGAGAACTCATCATTAGGGACCTATGACGATATATTGATGTACACACGTGGCGAAAGAAACGATGAATTGATACAGATCTAGATACACATATACGTATATAATGAATATATACATATATACCGAACCTTTTTCAAGTAAAGAAGACTGCAGGTCTGCGACGATCCACAGGATGCAGGGACAATGATTAACGTTAGGTTAAGCACATAGCTCACAGCTTTTAACCCTTATCGTATGTTTAAGAATCGGTCACACTTGTAGCTATAGAATAGTCTCTATTTTTCTGGATCCTTCATTTCGAAATCGTTAATCCTTGGTTCACGTGGAAGAACGACTAGAAATTTAATATACATATTTTCCTCTTTTATTTTCCCCATTTTCTCACTAGATCTCTTCGTGTTGTATAACGACGAGCTTCGTGATGTTTTTTTTTGATAATAGCCAATAATGAATAAAGCTTGATGCTTGCGTGATATTTAGCCGTTAATAAAAAAGTGATGTTCTTGGGCAGCTTTGTTGGTATAGCTATTCGAGATATATATGTATATACATTCTCTTGCGTCTATATCTACAAAGTGTACGCTACTTTCGATAAGGATTAAAGTTATTCGAGGTAATATCAAGAAAGGGAACTTTTTTGTTTTCTTTTTTTTTTTTTTTTTTATCTGATGGAAAATACTGCGCGAGCGTCCTTAACTAAAGCGATGCCATGCAATCGTGCCAATGAGAAAATCAAACGAATAAAGAAGTCGATATATGTATATACTATACATATATATATATATACAGAAACGAAACAATGAGAAATTAATATGATGATAATTTAGAAATGTGTATGAAAATTCTTAATCAGCAGTGGCTCGATTTGTTATGAATACAAAAAGAAAAATATTTTAAAATTATATTATATATATTATATATATAATAATATTTTAAAAATATTTTAAATAATAAATACACGTTTGATAAAATCGATTCGAACAACTGCTGTAAAAATGATCATTATGTAGCTATGTAATATTTGTCAATGATGGCTCTCAAAATGTAATTTGTTTCACTACTTTTTCAAAATATTTTATTATATATAACGATTTTATTAATATGTATCGAACATTATCGAAAGTCATCCATGACTGTAATAATAATAATAATAATAATAATGATGATGATGATAATGATTACGATGCCTTTCAAAGCAGATCGCTTTTAATCGAATTCTTTCATTTATTTTTTTGTAATATCAAAGTAAGAATATTCTCTAATTAATATTATTCAATATCATATAAAATTTTTACAACATTAATAATATTTAGAAACATCATCACGAATAATATTATTTTAAATTAAATGCATTTATTTTCTAAAAATATTAATAAATATGTATTGAATCTACAATTAATTTGAGGATTAAATGCTTCGAAGTTATTAGCTCAAATCAAATCAAATAGATATATTCGTAAACTACAAATCTTTCTCTTTAAAATATTCTTTGTTTCATCTCGATACGACTTTTCGTTTCCGAGATATCATCGTTCAAAGCGAATAGTGTTTTTTGGCATTTCATTATCGCTGTTTTACTCGCGCGATCGAATTTCTCACTCTTATACACGGCGTTGATCTATCCCAAGCTTCGCGAGCATATAGTGATTAAATAAACAGTGAGTCAGCGTTTTCTTTTACTATTACTACTAGTTGTACGTATTTCTAGTAAGAAATGTAGGTTATCGCGCCAATCATTATTTCTTTTTATTTCAGAGCGATTCTTAAAAATAATTCTTAATAATCTTAAATAATTCAAGAACAAATTGAATTATCAAGTTGAAACAAAATTTGCCACAAATGGTATGCTTTTATATATTTAAACGTAATTCTAATAATAATTTCTTAAACATAATCTACGTTGCGAATGAAATAAAAAGATATTTCGTGTTTTCTTACTTACTGTATCAATCTATATTTAAAACGTAAATTAAAATTAAGCAAAATAAAAATTATGAAAAAAAAGGGAATAAAGAATCTAAACGTTCAATTAGCAAAGAAATTTAAATTCAATTAAATTTAAATCATATGATCCTCCTCACAACGTATCTGTTATTTTTCTAATCGCAATATAAGAAAACAGCAGCAAATAAACGAAAAGAAAGTGATCAATTAAAAAGACAGGAAAAGATAAAAACGCGCGAATAGCGATCTGCAAAGAACGAATCGTGTCCTGCATCAGCTCGAGGAAGAATGCAAGGAGAAAAATAAACGATAATAAAAATACCACCGAGTTCCCGGTGCAGTGGTGAATGGACCAGGTGTCTTTGAATCTATACGGTACGTTACCCTGAGGCTGGATCTGCGTCTATCGACCGTGCCCGAGTGATTGGCTGTCATGTGTAGGGCGGACAGGGAGCTCTGATGATGTTGAAGATGCAGCGCCCTGCTTCCACGACCGAGGCTACCACCCGCGCTCACTGTGCTCATAGGACGACCACCTCCGGTGCTGTTCCTCGGGACCACCTCCAGCTGACTTCTACACACACGCACACCACGCGTTCATGCACGCCTTTCTGCGTACCACGCATCCTGACCGCTTATATGCACACACCTTGGCGACACCGCGGACACACACACGTTCGGCACGTTTTGCAGCGAACCTCTCTCCCATATTTTAATTTTTGTTTTATTTTATTTTATTTTTTTTTTCCCCCTTTTCTATCGTTTCGTGCTTCGTATATAATAACGTTTAACTTTTCTCTTATCTTTTTTTCTTTTCTTTTCGTTTCTCTGAGCACAAAGGAGTGTGAAGCTATGGGAAGAAGAAGTGTAATTTGCGTGATTCGTTTAACACGTTCCACTGAGTTATTATAGAAACTGAGATATTATAGAAACGAAATGTTTTATTAGCAATGAATAGAAGTATTTTTCAATGAAGAAAATTATAATTTTGCATATTTGTTAGCTTTATGTAGGATGTTTGGTAAGATAGAAAATTTAAGGAGTGATTCTAGGGAGAGATTGAAACAAACAGAAAAATTGATATAAGAAACTTATTCAAGTTATAAATAAGTATAATATAAGTATAATACTTATATTAAATATAATATTATAATAATTAAGTATAATATAGTTTATAATATAATTTTGTATTAGATGAAGAGATTAGATGAGTTTGATAGAAATAGAGTTATTTTTATTTATTATATGCGTTTGTTTTAATCTCTGAAATTACTTTTTAAATTTTGTATCTACTTTATCCAGATAATATGATCAATAGATTGTAAATGCTTATTCATTTTATAAAAATTTAAATGCATAGAAATCTATGTGAATGAATATGATATGCAAAAAAGCATAAAATATTCAAAATATAGTATTCATTATTATGATATTTAAAAAAAAAAGAGAAATCTCTATTTAACTTTTATTTCTTTAGTAAAAATAAAAATTTGTGTTCAATACAAATTTTACATAAACATCCGCAATCTAAATTGTTTTACTTTTGATTAAAAAATTTTTTTTTCTCTTTTTTTTAAACGTGAAACGTGTTAATATTCGGCAAGAATAAGTTATAAAATTTTGAAAATAAAAATTTCTATAATATAAATTTAATAATAGATAATATATAATAAAAAATATTTTAAAAAAAGTATGGAATCGTGTTGTTTATAAAATTTGGTAGAAGAAGTATAACTAGTTTTAGCGGATGTGAAGAACTTTCGTATTTCTCTGATTTGTGGAAAGGGCGGAAGTTGGTATTCAAGAAAATTGCGAGATCGAGTTAAAGTTTGCGACTATCCAATAATAGTTCTTTTTAAAGTGAAAAATTTTACTATGGCGGGAACAGTGCGAGGGATACGTAAAAGAGTACGTTAGGATGCAGATAAAGTTAACTCTGAAACTCGTCTTGGCACACAAAATATATCGTGATCAACGTGGATGGATACTTGGCAATTGAACAGTGGCTCGCTGCAAGTGCTCGACAATAGAGAACGAGATATGTATCATAATGAATATCTAGTTACAACATAAATATACATACACAAGCATTTTGTGCACCATCGATATAAGAATGTATATATGTTTACTGGATACGCAGGGTCGTTCATGAGGGATCGACCGAGGCGCATCGAGCGTTGCTGGTCAGTCGATTGGAATAAACACCGAACAGTCAAAAATGTAAATATCAAATTAGAAAAAGATGAAAGGAACCATAATGCATACTGGTGTAATCCGTGACAATTCTATCAAACCCCTTTAACTCTTAAACTTTACCCCATCCTCTTCTTATTTCAAATGAAATTCACTTCAAAAGAAATTGGATCCGTTTATTTTTACTAATTCATACATTCTGAAAATCTTTTGATAGTAAGTATCTAATCAAATTCCAAGTAATTGACAGAGATTATGATAACATTGGAAGAACAAGAGTCCAGGTTAAGAAAGTCCAGCCTCTTCAACTTTATAATATCTTTGAAAGCAATCTTTAATCCTACGAATTAATCATAAGAATAGCTTCGCCATGAATTACACCAGAATTACTAATATTAACGTGTGCTGTACATAGCGCAGTGCAGTGCAGGCAGCAGCTGTGGGCTACGGCTCAGCTATGAGAGACATTACCGATGGATCCGCGATCGAGTGGACTGCAGACCCAGCGAATCGCTGCGGTGCCGAGTACAATGTTATATCAATAAGAAGAATTCCATCGAGTATATTGCATATGTTTGTATATGTACATTATGTCGAGATTGTACTGTACTGTATATACGTGTGTGTATTCCCGATATATCCAAGTATGGCGTGTGTATTACGGATGAGTACTTACATACTAGGCACCAATCGTAAGCGATCTCGATCGTTCATTTTATATTATAGGATATTTCGCCAAAGGGGTCGAGATTGCTTGGACTGGAAATGCACATTTACCTCTTTATATAGCTTTTTTTTTCTCTCTCTTTTATCTTTAACGTGTGTTTGCAGCATCGTCATGTCAGTGCTCGTCTCCTACTCGAATCTCTAAAGTCTTTATGATATGTATAACGTCCAAATATGTCAAGTCTGAATGTCGAAATGAACAATTACCATATCTTATTCTAAGCTAATGCAGAATGATTCTAAAAATTGGAGTAAGCTCGAGTAAGTATCGTGTCTCAGCATTGGAAACATTGTATTAAGATTAAAATAAGTAGGATTATAAAATGCTTGACCCCAATTTTTAGAATATCTCTGTATATAAAGTAAATATCTTTTTGAAGAAACTGAATTTTATAAGGTAATCTTAGAATCGTGATTTAATCTTACTTATCTTGTGCACACCGCTGCGTTACTATGATTAATTTGTTTAGTTAATCCTTAAACACTTGATTATTTACAATATCTTGATAATTATATAATGTTCTATTAAAAAAATGCTTCGACTGGAAGCATGAAATTCTTAATATCAATCCTAATAATATTAATGCAAATTACTTTTTTTTTTTTAAGCTCGCCCGTTATTATGTACAATCCTCGAAGATAGGAAGTATCATATCGATTAAACTATAATATCCTTTCGAACGTGAACATCAACGAATATATTAAATCGGTATAAACCCTGAAAATGTGAGGCCTATCGAGTCGACTTTCGTATATGTAATAATAACAACAGTTTCTTTAAAGCTAATTGTTACTTTGCAAAACACATAATATTATTATTCGAGCGTTCTCGCGATTATTTCAATGTTTTTTTTTTTTAACGAACGTTTTCTCACTCTTTAGTTATCCATTGTAAAATTTGCGAAGATTAGAGAAATAACGTTACGTAGGTACTCGCGTTTTGATCGTCTCTATGCGTATAAACGTGTACTAATTATTTCCGTATAGATAATTGACAATATTTCAGCGACAATTCCTAAAGTATCTTATTTTTCTGTTAAATAGAAAATGATCCACGAGATTCTCTAAAGATCCTATCTTTATCAAGCGAAATTTCGATTTAATCGATGCACTTATCGCTACGAAGCGACTTCCTCTCTAAAATATATCGGCAAGCTGCGGTTATATTAGATTGTCAAAGATGTCTACTCGAAACATTTTTCTCGATTCTGAAAAGCAGAAAGAGGGAGAATTCGCAGCATCTCAAAGAATTTCTACAATTTTACATCTTCTTTCCCTATATTAAATTAATCGAATTAATTAATGTATGATTAATTATTTCTTTCACTGTCAAAGTCGTCCGGTTTATTTTGATTTGTTTGATGTGATTAACGACAGCGAAATATTATGTTAGCGTGAGTTCAGTGCTTGAATAGCAACCTGTCGAGGAAAAATAAAGAATTAATTGAAATGAGAGCACGAAGACGAGGATGAATCGTGTTTATCGACGTCGATCTCGTTTGCCGAACGAGGAACGACGTTTATGTCGATTAGTGAGCGTTGTCCAATGTGGCCTCTGGATGATAGTAGACTGAGTACCTTGCTGGAACGACGAGGGCTTCCAATTCGGCGGTGAGGTGTCGTCTGATCATCTGTTTAGCAGGCGGTATACCCAGAGCTGTGGCCATGGTATCGCCGGTGAAGGATGGTTCTAACACGACCAGAGCACCATGCACACCTGAATCTGTATCGAATAAAATTCTCTTAATATTTTTGAATCTATCTTATAGATTTTAACACTAGATTTATGGACGTTGACTATATATCTTTTTTTTTACTGAAATTCGTCTTTTTGACGGGTATATTAAAATGCAATTTTTTTTGTAAATTATTTATTTAAAATCTAATCTAAAAATAGTCATTGTTATTTCATTTTAATCTAATCTAAAATCTAAAAATAGATTTTTATTTACTATTGTCTTCAATACATTTTTTACATGTAAATTCTATCTTGGATGTATACTTTCCGCATATATACTTGTTAAATTTAATGCAAATATAGTTAGACTCCAGATACTGAATTGAAGCTAGTATTTTGTTCGTTGTGATGATCACTGCCCAATTCTTCAACTAATTGAAAGAAAAAATTCTTTCAAATTTTTTTAGTCCAGTGGTCTCTTCATATGTATAATACAGGCATTGATGGCTATATGAATTAAAAAAAAAAAAGCAATTATAAAACACATGAAGGGGCTCTCTACGGGATCTTTTCACAGTATTTTCTTCATTATCAACATCTTTTATTTCACTTTCGCTTTTAATATCTGAAATAATATGCATTCTTTTTTTTTTACGGTATGTATTGTGATAATTTTCATTCCCATTGTCAGAATCTTCAATTTCGTTTATATTGTCAAATTTTTCCTCATTTTCGCATAATTCGTTTATATTAAAATCCGATCCAGATTAAGCTTCATTTATGCTGGTTATTTTTTTTATCAATTATTCTTTTTTATCAATTCTATATCTTTTGAAGACTTGCCTATAATAATATAAACGTAAAAAAATATATTTTTTCGGGTAGGTTTTGAAAATATTTTAAAAAATTCAAATCTTCTTATGAAAATAAATTTTTACTAAGCTTTCAAATAGCACTTATTTTTTTTTTTTATAAAACGTACTGTTGAAATTATCTCTCACGTAAATCTATTTGTTTTATATAAAATAATAAGACAAATTCACTTACAAAAATCATTTCTTTTCTCTGTTGAAGAGAACCATTGAAGAGATTATTTGTTATCATATCGCAATTATAAATAACTTGTTTGATTATATATTTATTGCTAAATAGTTATAATTTGTTTGGTATTATTTTTTTTTATTCATTATTATTTCATTTTATTATTTCACAATAATTATCTATAAATTAATTCGTCAAATTGACGGATTTTCATAAAAACAACATCTAGAAATAATAAAATATAAATGTTCCAGAGAAAACGAATAGAAATATATAAGCATAAAATCGAAAACCTGTCAAATTGACGGGTTCCGTAAATCTAGTGTTAAACATGTTTTGATCTGTTTAAATCTTTCAAGATTCTTTTATTACTTAAGTCTAAAAAATTTTTTTGAGAAATCAATTTTATATTCTATTTGTGATATTGGAAATTTGTTAGGAAAAAATTACCTTTCAAATTCTCAGCATATTCGGTCAAATCGATGTTCCTTGCCCACCGAATGAACCTTTGGTTCGTCCAAACCAGAGGATCTGTATCCACTTGTTCGCATTGGTGTCTTCTGACTGCGAGTGCCTATTATAAAAGTACGAATTGCAGTGTTTCTTATTATCTGTTTAAATAGAACACACTCCTAATACTGAATCAATTTCGAATAAATAATCTTGAATTAATAATTCTAAATCAATTTTAAATTCTAAGATTAATAGATAATATATCTTACAAATAATTTATTTATTAAAAATCGATAGTGAATGAATGTATAGTTATTTTCCATAATATAAAAGATTTATAACTATATGGTATATTTCTTAAAATTAACATCAACATTATTATTTTACAATAAATTTGCTAATAATCATAGAATTGTAAATAAATTTACTTTTCAAAAAATAAAAATTAGTATCTATTATTATAAAAAACTTTGTACATTAGGATAAGCAGAAAATTTATTTTTTTATAAAATTAAAAAAGAAAAAGAAACATAGTTTTTAAAATATATAATTTGTATAAATTGTAAAATTCTTTTTCTAAATTTCTAAAATTTTTTTTCTAATTTAATTGAATTTATATATTTGTTCTCACCTGACGATCGTAGTTCAGCATTCGCAACAGATGAATTCCATGCACGATACTGGCCTGATGAAATTTCCTGGTCACCCCGAGCAACTTCTCAAGTTCTTTTTTACTCAGATGATCGAGCATCCGTGCGTCCACCATGTTAGTTGCGAAACTTTCGGAATATTGAGCGAGTCCAAGGTCAGGCAACCATTCCGAGCTGACCCAAGTGTGACCCAATTGAGCAATGCACGGGTATCGAACGAGACTCGGATGTCGATGCTCTTCGATGGCTAAACGAAGCTTCTTCCTGTGAAGGGGATGTGTCACTCCGAGACCGGCTTCTAATTCTGCGTCACTTAGCTCCAGTAAAACCTGAAAAAAAATATATTATAATCGAATAATGTAGAATTCGTTTATTCTAAAGAGTTATACACGATTGATTGACGAAATTATCAATGTATGATTAATTTTTAATGCTTTTATTTAATTGGTTTTATGTTAGTTTTTCAGGCACATTAAAGAATTTTGTAAGAAGTTTAAATGACATTTTTTTATTATTAGATTGTGAATTTTTATACGAGATATAGATATATATTATTGTACTTACAATATAGTAATTTTATTATATATTTTTATTTATTGCAATTATAATACAATGATTTTTTGATAAATTGGTATTTACCTAAAAAAATGAATAGAGAATTTATCGTATTGATTATTTATTCATGAATATGAAAAATCCTGTTTCAAAATTCGATACATTTAAATTACTACTTTATTTTACTTTATTTTTTATATATTAATAAAAAAGATATATATTAATAAAAAAGAAAAATTCGATTAGAAAAAGAAATATCTGATATAGTTATTTATATTCTGTTTGTTTATGGATGTTTAAAATATATAAAATATACGAGATATAAATATTTGAATAAAAATCCACAATCTATTGTTTATTTTACTGAAGAATCATTAAAAAGTTTCTCCAACATTAGATATTCAATTCAAAATTAAAATTTAAATTAGATCAAAAACAATATCTTAATACATGTATGTTATAAACTATATAAAATATTATAAAATTTAATTATTCTATAAATTCTAAATATACCAAACAGAAATTTATAACAAACTTCAAAAGTTTTATTGATTTTCAATAATTACAAACATGTTATTCTTGGAGCAACAGTATCTTATTTATATCTTTTATTCAGGACACAAGAGACGAAATGTCTCGTTCGATTTACAGAATTGCAATCAATTTTTCATTGCTCTGAGTCCACTCACCTTCCCAGATTTAACGTTTTCAGCGCATCGTGGACCATACTGTGGCATACCAAGGGCAACCTCTAACCACGCCAACACAGTCGGTGCCCTCCATCGTTCCATGGGCACGGATGCGGCTTCTCTGAGCAAACGAAGCTTCTCCGCGTAGCCTTCCTCCGTGAGCGGTGACCATGATCTGTAGGGATCGAAGCCGTCAGAGCCCTCATTACTTCCGCTTCCGCCGCTCGAGTTGTTCGCTGCCTTTCGATGCCGCGTACGGGCGAACACTCTGAAAATCGAGACGAAGAAACTGTCCTTGAGCTAAGAAGATGCTATACACTTCTGTGAAAGCATTAAGATTCGAAACCGATATTTTATTATTCGTTTATGCAATGAAAAAAAATCGAGAAGATAAAATTAGAATACGTTTTTTAACAATCTGATAATAATTTAGAGAAATTATAAATTGTGTTTGGAATGAGTCTTATAACTATATTAGTCTATTAGAGAATTGAGAAAGGAGAGATGCTTCTTAATATTTTAATAGATAATTTAAAAAAGATTAATTAAAATCATGTTAAAATCTTATAAAAATACTTAATTTTAGTTATTAATAGACTGGTTACAATTATTTTTTAAAGTTATTTTAATTCTATTTATCTTTATTCCTTTTATACATTTTTTTTTAAATAATTTTAAAAATTCAGAATTCGCAAAAATCATTATATTTAATAAAATAATTTCCATATTAAACAGATAAAATCGCCATCTCCTTCGAGTTAATTTATGTAAATTCGAAGATGATCCAAATACATCGCGGCTGACATGATTGGGAAAATGTTAATCCTGTCGAATCGATTATAATAAATGCAGTCACTCACCTCGAAATAGAGCCCCAAGTGCCTCCACGAGTTGCAGAGGAGCGTGAATGGGCGGCAGGTGCCGCGACAGGTGTGTTTTGCTTGTTTCTTCTCGGTTCTGATTCCAACGGGCTTGACAACTGTTCCACCGATCGCGATAACGAGGAATTGTCCATAGACCTCGAGAAAGCGTTGAGAGGCGACAACGTTGGGCTGCAATCCTTTGGCGTTGTCGCTGCTAAAAAATATAATATCAACGATATATATAAAACAATAGATTAAATTTCATCCTGATGAATTCTTTTCTCTGAATATAGACGAGATATATCAGCTTTGAATACAAGAAAAAATATATTGATTCAAATATTACGCGTATTAAAAATTTGCTATTTATTTTAACATGATATGATGTATCATGAATGTACAGAATTTTGATGTATTTGTGAGGATCTATACACTTGTGGAGAATCGAGTCTAAAAGCCAAAATAAACGCAAAAGTTGATAGAGGTTCATTTATTAAATTATAAGCAATTGAAGAGGCGGAGATAGAGTGAAACCCTTCTATCTTTGTCGCACTCTGTCTCGTTCCCTCTTCGTTTAAAGCAAATTGCTTAATTAATAAATTAATTAATAAATCTTAATCGACATTTTTGTATTCTAATACTTCTGTTTTTACTATGGATTTCTCAAAAGTGTCCCAAATATAGTAACACTCTGTATATTATATTTGGATCACTTAATTATATATTCAATTGATTTATTTCAATTTTCACATCGATTTATTTTAAGACATTATTCTTTTTAAAATTTTTTTATACTTTCTGATTGTAATTGAAGAATAAAGACAAAATATAAATCAGATTAAAAACTAGACTTCCAAATCTTTTTGAATATATATTTTGTCTCTGTTCCTCGAATATTATCAGAAAGTATAAAAAAAGTTTAAAAAAAAAATTATCCTCAAAACGAAATTATTAAATCTTTCTTCTTATTTCTTCATCTTTATCTTCTTCAATTTCTTCTGAAAATCATACGATTCACTTTAATCCTTCGAATTTAATTTTCATGAACGAATGATCAAAAATGACCCAGCCATCAGACAATGAGAATCAACAAGCATATTTATAGCATCTTTTCCACGAATTTTCCTTTCATATGCACTTCACAACATTCGATGCAACGTAAAGAACACACAGCGTATTGTCATTGTACAATATTTCTGCACGCAAACAGAGTCAAAATTTCGTTGGTATTTCGCTTCATCATCGAGGCAGACTGTTTTCAGAGCTTAGATGTTCGTCGAGGCAGGACGAAGGGTCTGATGAGATTACGATGAAAGTTTAGAGGAGGAGTTTCAGGAAACGGAGTGAAATGAAACTAAATCGAATCAACGGAAAGCGAGCCTGTAATTTTCCAGAATTAAATATAAGTGGAAAATATAAATGTATATATATAAATATTGTATATTGTTAGCAATATCGCATTGCAATTTTGATTTTGCAATGAACATTCTTGGCCAGTGTGCACGGAGTATATATCCGGATATTATGAAATATTTCTGATTATTCCAACACGTGCATGCGCATGCATCGCATCATACAACGCACAATTAACCGATTGTTAGAGCGAAACCACGACATAATGGACCTTTAATATTAATTGTTTGCCGGATTGAATGGATAAATAAACGAATAACCCAGCGACAGAGATTGCAATTCTTACGATCAATGACCACCGATTACTTTCAAAGCAACCACCTGATTATGCATACATAGATATACGTACCATGAATTGCAGAATTACTGTCTTAAAGAATTTTCCAATTTTCTTTATGGAAGTTATTTTCCTTTAAATAATTGATAATAGTTTTCCTTTTTATAATACAATTTTTCATTAAATTGTTATTCATGTTTTTAAAATGTTTATATTAAAAATAATTTAATCATGTTATGAATTTTATTTATTTTTAATATCAATGAAAAATATTAATTAAATTTTTTTTTAATACTCATATTTATTTTAGTTTCTCTTTTATAATGAATTATATACATTTTCAAACTCTCTTACTGAAATTCTCTTAATTTAAACAAATCAAATCTAATTTTCTTCAATATTTAAATCCGTCTCGTATTCTATTCTGTCCCCTAACACGAATTTCAAGCAACGATCGTTTCAAGACGAAGGAAGAAGCGTACATTCAAAAAACAGAGCCGAATAAATAATCGAGAAAAAGAAGAAGAAGAAGAAAGAAACACAGTTTGCAGGATACTAGACAGTATTAATAGACAAAGAGAGAAACACACAGAGAAACAGAGAGAAAAAGAGAAGCAAAGGAATTCTTGAAAAGGTTCAAAGGGAAAAGAAAGAAAGAAAGAAAGAAAGAAAAAATACAAAAAGAAAAAAGAGAGAGAGAGATAAAAGGAGGACGACGATGAAGATACGGATAGGAGACGACGATCAACGATTTATGTTTGGACACTTACACTGGTACATGTGGGATGGTGCAATGAAGGAAACCACGGAGATGCTGTCCATGTCGAGGCCGCTTCCCTCGACCGTAATTGTCGGTGTGCCTGCGCGGAAATATATAAGTAAAAAAAAAAAGTATTGCGTTCGAGATCGACGTCTCCGTGTTCTCTGTATTTTATTCTTCTGGTATATGGAGTATAAAAAAGGAAAATTGGAGAGGAACGATTTAAACTTTCAATCTCTATTCATAACATCCTTCCTTGTTTTTTGAATCCGAATAGAAAATAGTTCGTCATATAAAATCGAAATTGGCTAAATTAAAATTGGATGGAAAATTAGAATAAATGGATTGTATATTGGATAAATAGACGAGATTATAGATTACTTCTAAATTGGATTTTATTTATTGGAAATAGGTTAAGAAAATTTGTGTAACAGAAAATTTAAAGTAAATTTGTCAAGATTCTGGAGAATAATCTCTTGCTTAAAATTGCTTGTTTGTTTTTTATGTTGCATATTTCGACTGCAGTGAGTGCATATATCTTACAATTTTTAATAAATAACATTCGAAGTGTAATAATAACGTTTGATCAAAATAATTTTGTGCAGAAAATTTATTAAAATGCGAATCAATTTTTCAAAGATATCTTTTACTGGTGAATAAAATAATTATTTATGCTATATATCTATAGTTTTTTGATTTTATCAAAGCTATGTTAAAAGACTCAATCTGTCGATGGTTTAACAAATAAATCTTTTTGTCAGACACAGAAATTTCAAAATATCAAAAAATATCTATGTCTATGATTTGTAACAATTGTAACGATGCATTGATAACAATATAATTCCATTTTCTGTTAAATAATATACTGGTTGAACTTAAACACAACGAAGAATATTTTTGAAATTTTATATCAACACAGATACACACAAGAAAAAATTATGATAAGTTTATTTTCCTTGATCTTTAATTTTTATGTTATCTGGACTTAAGAAATAATTTAATATGACATGTAAAAAAATATTTTTCAAGTACAAAAATATAAATTTTTAAAAAATAAATGATAAATTTATGAAGTTTGGTAAAGATTCAATGAAATACATCAAAATTATATAAAAACATAGTTTTTATAATATGAGAGAGCTTCACAATATTTTCAAATTAAGACTTAAAAAGTTCTTGATTTTAAATTTAAAACAAACGAATAATGAGATTTATAATATCCATAAATTCTTTTATTATTGCTTTATAATTTAATTGAAAAACATTGGATTAAAAATATATTATTTAATTTCACTCAAACTCTCGTTTATAACTTCATATATGAATCAGTTAAAATAAAATTATATAAAGATGAAAATATTGAAAATCGTCGATATTTTCGTAAAATACAATAAAATTTACGATAAATATCTTTCAAAATTCTCATCTTTGAAAACCCATCTTGACATCTTGAAGATATCGTAATAAGCCAAAGTTATTAAAAAAACAAGATATTAAACAAAAAATACTAAAGAACTGTATCATAAACTAATTATAAAAATAAAAGAAAGAAGATTTTTATTTATCAAATATATATATATATATTTCCGCTCTGATCTATCGACAAACACGGAAAGATTTACGGATGGATTAAATATTTTGTGTAACGTCTAATTCAGGATCCGTGCACATGCATCACAATCACAGCACGTACTGTGCGTTTGTTCTAAACCAAATCGATCAATCGTGTGTTTTAATGCACAGCCACGAGGATTGGTTGAATAATATACGAAGTAAATGCACTCGATTAACCGGCCACCTTCGATTAGCATTCGTGGTTGATGGAATTGGCCCTTTTCTTCTCTCTCCCTTCTCCCTTCCTCCTCGACGAATCGACGGATGCGCCGTAATGCGCTTTAACAAGACGATTAATCTCGCCGACCGTTGCACTTTAAGCGCAAGAAATCATCGTGATCTAACCGCTCGACACTCTGATGAATAATAATGGCGATTGTATTATACGCGAGATAGCTTAGCGACAGGAATGCTACCTCATTTCCTCGAGGAAGAGGGTGGATCACAATGGCCGAGATCGCGATGAATAATGCGAAAATCATATAAAAATATGATTCTTCCACTGTCGATGCGTTTCTCTCATTAATTAAATTATTGAATTATAATTGTCAATGATAAATGATCTAATTTTTCACCCTTAAACCTATATATCAAAAATACTCAATTTTTGATTTCGATAATAAAAAATCTTGAATCCAAATTAACAACGGATATGTTAAATAAAGACGATCTAATTGAATTTGAAAATCTTTTGACGGATTTGGATATTTAAAAGTTAATTTAAAACCTCTAACCTCTAATGTTAATATTCAACTTTACTGTGAAACAGATATATGCACAGAACAGGAAATTAACGCAAAATTACAATTTCATTGTACGCAACCTTCATTAAAATTCTCAAATCCTTTATATACACACAATGGATATGAAACGAAACAAAGATATAATGTCTTACCATCCGTAGTGGAATCGGAAAGATTGCCACCCACGCTGGTCGCGCCGCCGCTCTCCCTGTCGCTGGATCCACGAACACCGCTATCCGCGCTGCAACTTCCTCGATCGCCCGCCTGCCCACCGGAAGAGCCAACACCTGCCGCATTGCCGACGTTCCCAACGGTCACTCCTAGCTCTGTGCTGCCTAATGGCGGTTGAGAATTCATATGAGGGATGATACCACAGCCACCGCCACCGCTGCTACTTCCTGCGCCCGGTGTCGCGGCCCCATTCACGCTGCCCCTCGGGAACGAGACCAAGGATTCCTGGTCGCTCAAGCAGATACCACCGCCACCACCTCTTTCCGCCAATTGACGCTGTAACTGTACGTAACAGTGTTCGAGACAATATTAGACAATTCTTGGACAAGTTTATGGGTCTGTGTGTAAATTGAACAAGGGAAAAGATGTTTTTGTTGATTGGAAAATTTTTGGGAATTTATTATCAATATATGTTGATATGGTAATAATTTAATCATTTGTTGTATGGAAAAATATTTCATCCAAGAGTTGCATGCTTTTATTAAACAGAATTTTTTTTAATTTATTGATTGTTATTAAACAGTGTAAATTATAAAATTAGAGAAAATTAAAGAATCACTTGTAGAAAAAGATTATTAGTTTAAGAGATATTTTAACTTTAATTAAAAATTTACGGTATAAGACAAGGAAAATATGAACAAAAAAGAATATCGTTTTACAAATTAAAATATTTTCTGAACTAATCATTTTTTATAAGAAGTAACAATCTAAATTTATTAATATATTAAAAATTATATTTCCTTTTTACATCATACATATTTTTCTATGAAATATCTTTTCATAGAATAAAGTTAAAAATTTAAACAATTCAAGAATATAGTATATATAACTTTTATAAGTTAGAACAATTTATAAGTTTATTATAAAAATCAACTTGCTGCAAAATGGATAAATAATAATGAAAAAAATTATTTATTATTTTATATATTATACAAAAATAAATGAATCTAATCTGATATAATTGCAAATAATTTTTGTTCCATCCATTTTGATTTTTGCTCGGTTCAATTTCCATCGTATCGATCGCGGTATAGTTAAACCGAAACTCTAAACTAGAAATTTTCGGCTCGTGCGTGACTTTCAGTCGACATAGCCATCCCTCGAGCCATCAGTTTTAAACTCGTTACTCGTCAGACCGTTTATGCACAGCGTGAAGAACAATTTCAGGAGCCTCAAAGCGGGCTCACCCCTCGTTTAATTGCATGTGAGGGTGAAGAGATGCTTCTTACCTAACTGCACGTAATAATATTAACATCAATCGTTGCCGGCCCAATCTTTTTCCCCCCGTCTGATCGTTTTTCACCGTGTCTCTGTATCGTCTTTCGATAAAAATAGCATCATTCACGCGTCGAGTAACATAATAATTTTTAGGAATATTTACGTTCAGATGGGAAAGTGAAAAGTTTTTTTTTTTTTATAGATCGTCAATGATGTAAGCGTGAATCGAAGCGTGTGTATGTAAATTTACATTAACCTTTCTCGTTCAACTATTCGAGAATCTAACGTTGAAAGAAACAAAGGAAAATACTTTTAACAGTTTCCACGTGGTGGAAAATTTCTTTGATGCTTCGGGGAGGAAAAGTGTGTTAATAATAAGATTTCAATTTTTTTTTATTATTATTAAATATCGAATTCAATATTCAATATCCTAATAAATAGAATTATTATAATAATTTTAATATATAAATTTAATAATACATTGATTAAACGAGATATTTATCGTTCATAAATAATACTTCTCCATTATGTATGAAACGAAAGAAAAAAAAAAAAAAAAAAAAAACGCGAGATAATTTAAAAGAAAAAAATCCCCTCAAAATTTAGCCGAATTAGCAGTTTAGACCCCCTGAAAGCTGAGTCAACGAAATTCGAGCAAATAATCCAAAGTAAGCTAAGCGACAGTCATTGCGTAAACATGAGAAAAAAATGTTACTGCTGACTCGAGGGAATCGCCGTTTTTTTTTTTTTTTTTTTTTTTTTNTTTTTTTTTTTTTTTTTTTTTTTCACTCCTTCGAACCTCTCTTTGCAAAACACTTGAACACACAACCCGGTAAAAGAGATTAAATTCATCAACCCGACTCCCCATGGTGCGCAATAATGCACACACGTAGGGGACACGTAGCCGGCTCGAGAAAGAAAGAAAGAAAGAAAGAAAAGAGAAAAGAAGAAAAGAAAGAGGGAGAAGAGAGAAAAAAGGGCTCACCTCTTTTATAGTCGCGTGTGCGTGCGAAAGGGCGGCCTCTTTGTCGGCCAAACTAGCCGCGAGGCTGAGACTTCGATCGGCCTCGTCCCTTGCAGCCCTTAGAAGGCTCCAGCGTTCCCTCTCCCTCTCGCGCTCGCGCTCCTCCGAAGGTATGCCGACTCCTTGCTGTTGAAGGCGTCCTAAAGTCGCCTCGTTCTCTCGCATCCGCTGTAATCAACGGTCAAAGAGACCCATATCCGGGCAGTAATTCCACCCGAGAACCACCACCGTTTAACAATGCATGCAGCACGCGCACAAAGTGTCAAAGAGTCCCTTTGAAACAGTCGGAAACAACAGTGCGCAATGTATGATTAAAAGTTGAGCCGGGGAGCGAGTAATTATAGCGAGGGGGTCGCGGCGAAATCGTTCTACGATGTTTCTTGATTAATTAGGTTTGAGTGTGTGGGATATGTTTTTTAAATATTTTTCCTTTTTTTTTTTTTTTTTGAAATAAACACGGATGGAAAGTATAAAGTATATGAGTTTATGAGTATTACGTATTATTTACGCGATATATTTTTCGCACGGTATCACGAAAATGAGTATATTATGCAACCAAAATCTAAGAATCTGTTAAAGTAATGAAAATAAGTTTGATATATTAATTTCCATTTACTTTTCCCAATTTTCCCTAGATCTTATATAATTAAATTTTTTAAATCGAGCATAGTGACATGTTTACATAGATTTCTGAAACTAGCGATTACAAAGATTAATAAAATATTATCAATCACTGATTATTCCTAAGAATTCCTTAAGATTCTTAATTGTTTATTTTTCATTACGCGTTTTAAAATTTTGAAAATCGGAAAAGTTAAACCTAACCTAAAAGAATCTCTCGTACCGTCTTAGAATTACCAACTTTTCCCAGAGAATTTCCCCTAGATCTTTTTTCGACACGGTTGATCGACAACACGGTAACACGATACAGGTGCAACTTGTCGCTTATTTACAGGTGTCATGTAGCTTCACCTATTAGCCGCTAGGATATCGGCTACGGAGAACTTAATCCACTTATCTCTCCCTCGGGCGCAAGGAAGTTCACGATACGTATAACAGGTGTTGCTGCTGGTTTATCGGTTAAAGTTTGGGACAACGCGATTACTGCCACTCCAACGGGTCGGTCAGGTGTTGCCCGTTGGCGGGTCAACATTTTCGAGTTAAAAACTATCGATGCATCGCTGGTCACACAGCTTTGCCGGCTGTCGCGTGGAAAATTGTTTGCGTGCGCGTGTGAAAGTACGAAAAGTTTCGTATATGCCCAAAATCTCGAATTTTAATCCATTTAACGGTTACAATATGCACGATATTAATATATTCGTGGGACACCTTTGGAAGATCGGATTACGGAGGCGAAAGTTAACTCGATCGAGGCTTGTTTATTAATTTATGTTTTAAGCAATTTAAATTTGCGTCAGAGGAACAGAATGAAATTGTGCTTCCAAGTATATAAAATACGTGTATAAAGTTTATTATTATTTTTTAATAATTAGCAACGTTAACAATTACGTAACAATAATAAAACTTAATAAATGCTATTTGCCAAAAGAAAAAATAAAATTCAAATTTTGTAGAAATAAAATTTTCCATTTTCGATTATTTATATTTACTTTTATCTATTAATTTATTCGTCTTTCGAAAAATTATTTTAAATCTCATTTAGATTGTTTAAAAATTACCATTATTTCTATTCCTGATTGTAGATTCTTAAATAGAAAGTTGGATTTTTAGATCACTTGCTAGAAAAATTCATTGATTTAGAATCTATGGATGTCTTTTACAGTCTATTTCGAAAATTACATTAGCAGACACGAATATAAATCACATCATTTCTAAGAGTTCACGTTTATGACCGCCTTGGCAGGATTCTACGAAATTCTTGTAGACGTTTAATGATGTAAAAAGAATCTTGGAAGACTGCCTTTTATAAAAGGTTCTATCGCTGCTATTTTAACTTTTACAAAGATCGCTGGATCGTTATATTTTTTTTTTTGTTGTCATTAATTGTGAGAAAAATTTATAAGAAACTTATATTGAAAATTTTGTTCTGAAAATTACGAAAATTCTTTTTTTAAATTTAGTAACAAGATTATTATTATACAAGATAAATTACATAACTTTGTTGTTTTAACAAAATAGCTTTTTATTTAATATTCAATATTCTTTTAAATTACAGATTTAAATCTCATATTTAAGTCATAAAACTCATGCAGTATTTATATATTTTATGGCTTGTGGATTTTTATGCAAATACTTTTTTTTATTTATATTATGTATATATTTTTTATATTTTATTTGTTACATATTTTTCTTCTCATATCAATTCTGTTTGCTGACGATAATTTATAATATTTCAAATGGTTGTACGAATCAATATTTGCAAATATTTTAAGTGGCATCTCTATATAGCAAGATTAGGACAGGTAGTCAAGCAAATTTAAATTATTAAATTATTCCATTTCAGCTTGTATTTTCAATTTACAAATAAATTTTTACAAATAAAATTATACAAATTTATCAATGAAAATTTTTTGGTAATTTTGCAAAAATACACGTAATATATTTCTATTCTTCACGTAAATTTATCTCACATAAATTTTTTTATTTAAGTATATTATTTATAATTACAAAACAATCATTATACTTTACATCTTCATCTCTCATAGTCTCTAATTTTTCTTTAAAAAATTTCTTCATATATTTAACAAACTGTCATCCTGTATTAATTCATTATATCCATAATCAAAAACTAAATCCATATCAAAAGTATCAAAACTATTATAAAATATTATTAATCTTCTTTCAATCTGAATACAAACTCCAAAATTTAATCAATCTTCAATAACTTGTTCCGATTTTAAAGTACATAAAGATTTTACGTTCATTCTAAAACGTGTTCCTAATTCATTATGCGAATGTTGCACGTTTATCACCAAGGCGTCTCCGCAATAATCAATTCCGCTTAAATATAGGGGAAAACAGAGTGTATACACGGCTGTATACATCGAGATAAAAGAATACAACGGAAGATTTCCACGTGCGGAACGGTGTTACGTCATTGCTGATGAAGTGGATTATGCACGATGCGACAAGACGCGGAAGAGGATAAAACAGGGGAAAATTGAAGAACCGTGGCCAGGGGAGAAGGGGGATCTGTTCTAAGACCTCGAAGTAACCAGCATTTCCTTTCATGTCCTATTATGCAGAGGCACGAACACACATTGGAAAATGTCTTACGGCTCTTATCGACGATGTTTAACGCGATCGAGAGAGAATATTAAAATGCGACCGGTCCTTGCTACGATTCTTTACAGGCTGATTTTTCTCCCTTATTCAATCAAACCTCTTTCCTATTCTAACGTTGCGAATCAGTTGATGGAAGAATAGATCTTAATAAAATTTTAAGTTGAAGTGATAAATTCCAATATCAGATTTGCTTTCAGATTTTACACAGATGAGATTATATATGTTTGAAATAATTTGTTTGAGTGATGGTGGTTTGTGCTTTCATATGTGGTATATAAATAGTATCAAGTTCAATGTCTTTCATCAGAGTGTAATAAATGTAATAGAGCATCGATATACAAATGCATGAATATTTTTATTTGAAAATTAAAGATGAAATTATTATGAGTAGCTTTTAAATGTTTATTGTATAACATTATTATAGCAATATTATAGGATGAATTGAAAAAATATAATATGATAAGAAAGAAAAATAAAAATGTCATCCATGATTCAAAAAGTCAATCTTGTAGCTTAACAAGGATAAAGGATATAAAGAAAAGATTTATACTAATCTATTCAACAAATTTTCCCATAGGAATTAATCAAATTGGTGTCTCGTTGGTTTCCGTAGTTTTGTTTTCGACGACGCGACGTCACTATGTTCTTTCGGCTTAGAAAGCATATTTACGATCGTTAATATAAAACGTGCTACTGGATATTAAAGTTTGTCTTTCTCCTTATAGAGGATCGTGCATGATGCATCGTTGTGTCCTTATGAAAATCCTTTTTCTCCTATTCTCTTTCACCAACTCGAAACTCATCCTTTTTCGCTCGAACTCATCGACAAGCCTTCTTCAGATCCCCGAGTTTTTTTGCAAAGAAACATTAAATAGTCGCGATACATGCCGTTATTAATCTTCTCTCTTCTCTTTTTCTCGTATGCAAGAGATCGTTTTAAGAAGAGGGATAAAAAGAGAAAGGAGGAAGGAAGAAGTTTTCAATTTTCCTACCAAATACTTTAAACGGCCTGTTTTGTACTTCGTTTTCTTCTTCTCATCTATTCGCTCGTTCTTACTTGCATAGATTATATTATACATACAGGGTGACCCAAAAATATAGGAACTGAATCCGTTAACTGAAGATTCCTGAGGTAATTTTAAACAAATATTTTAAGAAATATTTTTTTTTTGCAAAAGTATTCGTTTCGACTTTGTTAACAAAAAACACTGGTCAATCACGGAGCGCGTAATCTTAATCGAGCCGCGACTGTAGCGTTGGCTATGTGCTGCCATTGAGCACGAACAAATCTAAGCAATATATGAAGAAATATATATATGTTTGAATATAAGAAATATTTTTTATCGATAAGAAAAATTATATCAAATTATATTATGAACAGATATATAAATGTATAAATATAAATATATAAATTTCAAATATAATGAAATTTATAATGATCTTTTACAGTTGCAATTTTTTTTAGAAATTAGGAAAAAAATTATAGGAGTATCTTACATTTATAGTGAAAATTTTTGCAATACTTTAGTGAATATTCACTGAATAGTGAATTTTATAAGGCTTTCATTTTTTAATTAGAAGATAGTACTTTGTCTTAAATTCACAATAATTCTTAAAATTCACAATATCTTTCGATATTCAATTGTTTTGAATTTATTTAAGATACTTGTATTTAAACATTTGGCAAAATCATAATAAACGACACAAAACAATACATACCGATAATATATATTGTAATTAAAATAAATAAAAGTGGAAATTAAAGATAATCGATTAATAAATTCATTTTTAAATTTTAAAACACGAAAAATATCGAAAATCGTGCTTAATCCTAATTTTTTGTGGCTCTAACCCTACTTACGTCACACGAAGAATTATGAACATCATTACCATTACACCCACGATCTCAAAAACGATCTTACCATTATCCATTTTATTATCCACTTGGTTCTTGGAATTATTGAGAAAAAAAAACACGAACACCGAAAAGGATGGCTACGTTCCAGGCGATCCACGTTTATTTACGGCCGGAAATCGGCGCGGGTTGTTCATTTGCCGGAATTGGAATGACCGACGACGTTGCGTCGGGTCGTCGCCATTGCAACGATAACGGTGTCGGGAAAATGAGAAATTCCAGCGAGTTTAATGAAAGTATTTAACAGGCAAAATTGCTGTACCGGTTTCCGTGTTTCCAACCCGCGAACCGGAAGTTGACGTGGGCCACGGATGAAAATTGAAATTGCATTTTCACCGGGTATTCGTTAAATAAATTCTTTTTTGTTTCTTTTNTTTTTTTTTTTTTTTTTTTTTTTTTTTTTTTTTTTTTTGCGCGCGCGCATTAAACTCGAGAGAGTTATTTTTCTCTTCGACTAATAACGTCGGGTCATAGCGTGGCCGCGTGGAGATATTTAAAAAAATACTTGGAGCGTTAAACATCCTATTAGTTCTGTTTAATTATACTTTCTTTCTTTTTTTTTTTTTTTTTTTAAGTTTACGGGCGGTAGGAGCTTGGATCTTTTGAATTGAATGGAATTTAAATTGAAAGGATATTGTTTTTGTTCGGACGATATTTTTGTTGATAAAACTGTGTTCGAGTATTGTATGGATTGGATGAACGATTGTATTCCGTTGTTTTAAAAATATTTCTTTTTATATATAAATTTTTTTTACCCTTTTTAAAGTATTTCATTCTTTCTTCAAAATAATCAATATAATCAAAGTTTTTGTGAAATTTTATATATTTTATGTGTAATAATGATCTATTGTCCTATCTTCCTTAATTTTTTTAATATTCTATTTTTTAAAATGATTTATTTGCAAAATATTTAAGATAAAATTCAATTTTTATGGAGAAAGTTATTATTTGCATAATTATAAAAATATATTCTGTATATAAAAAAATCAATAAAAATTATCAAATAAATTTTAACATTATCATACATCTAAATAAAAAAATTTTTGTGACAATTCAATATAATGAAGATTTCAATAAATCCTAGAATTTTTTCAGATTTCTTAAAATCCAAGAACAATAAAAAAATAATTGTAGATATGAATGATTCAGATTAGTATAAAAAATATGTTTTTTGATAAAAATTTAAATTATGGTCATTGTTGTAATAATAGTAAAATGAAAAAATTAAGATTTTAAACAAAAGAATTTTAAATCGTTATAGGAATATCATATCAAATTGTCAAATTGGATTTTTACAATTTGAAAATAAAAATTTACTTATAATTTACTTATAAATAATCTTATATATAAAAATTACAAATTAGATAAAATTGTAAATTTTGAATTGTTATTTTATTTTTGTGACGTATAAAATATTTGGAGAAAGAGATAATTCTAGAAAATAACTAAGTGAAACAAATGCGAAAGCTGATGTGCAAAAAATATTGGAAATTTCTTTATTATATTATAATATAATTTAATCTTCTACTAGATGGAGCAATGCATTTAGTACAAAATTGAATTTATTTATAATTTAATAAATAAGCTTCTAGCAACATCTTCACTATCAATTTTCAATTTTTAGAATCACCCTTAATATTTTTTATTTACTTCATCCAAATATCCTGTATAAATATTTTTTATATAAATATATATATTTATAAACATATTGATAGATAGAAAATCATAGTAAATCACATATAAAAAATTTTGAAAGATAATATTTAAAAAAATAACAATTTTTTTTATATATTTTTATATTTTTCAATTTTACTGTATTGATTTTAAAATTTAAAAAAAATTTTAAATTTGTATTTTCAGCCTTCCAATTATGCGAATATAATAATATTCAATAAAAAAAACAACATTTATCAAAAACATTTGCATACTTTTAATTTTATATATATAAAAATGAAAAATTTAAAATGCATAATTTTGTTAAGTTTGGCTTTTACTATCAAACATTGTAAAGAACATTGTAAAGATTTTTTAAAAATATAATTCAAAATTAAAATAAGAAATACTAGTTAAAACTAGTTTTTTCCAGTTTTTTTAGGTTCCAACCCTCTTATATAATACTCAAATAACTCATAAATTCCCTTTCTTTTTCCATATAAGACAAGGAAAATTAAAAAAATTTAATATTTATTAACTTTATTCATAGAATGATTAGATTGTTTTTGAGTTAATTAGCAAGAGGATCATTTCTATAGAACACGGTAAAATAATTATGTTCTTATGCGTCATATATGTGATATTAATTTCTTTTTTCATATTGCGTTTTAATTTTCTTTGGGGTTGCATGATAAGAAATATTTTTGTATATTATAGACAACGAAAAATTATATCATAAAAATATATTGTTTTTGATTATTTTAAAATTATTTTCTTTTTTGATTAACAAAAATTATTCCACCATTAAATCATTTTTGAGCGTGACTTTTTCTTTAATGATAGAGAAACCATCAACTAAAAATAATAGCAACTCAAAAATCAATTTACGATTTACAAGAAGAAATTTACTCGCACAGATATAAAAGTAAAAACGTAAAATTAAAAATAAGATTCTACGAATTTATTTATCTAACAAGTTCTTATTTCCGGATTATTATTATTTTTTTTTTTTTCTTTCACGCATCATGAAACCATGATACCATGTTTTTCAACACAGCGTTGCACGCATGCAAAAGCAATTTTTCTACGAGAGAAAGAGTATTACCTGTTCGTAGTTCCTGATAAAGTCCCGTAATTCTCGCTCCTTGTCCTCGAGGGTGCCATAGAGTGCTTTCATTTGATTAAGAAGATCGAACTTTTCAGCCTTGAGCCTCTTGCGATCGGCCTTAAGTGCCTGGAGGGCTTCTTTGGCGTGTTGCAGTTCCATTTCAAGAGCAACAAATCGTGCCTCGTCCTCGAGTGCCGCATCCTCGGAGCCAACTTCACCGCGTGCCGCTCCGCTGAATAGCAATCTTCTCAATCTGGCTACCTCAGCTACCAAACGTTCGTTCTCGAGCCGTAGTCGCCTCGTGCTGGCCAATTCCACCGAACCGGTGCTACCTCCCCCGCCATGAATGTTTGATAATCTCGATGCTACCAGTGGATCACCGATTCCTGAATGAAATATCAATATTTATAATTATTTTTAATCGTGTGAATTTAGATTTAAAAAAAGTGTGAGAGTTTGTGAAAGTTTTGTTTAATCCATGATAAATCGTCGATTCGTAAAGAAAATATCTTATTGTATATTTTCGAGAAAATGAAGGAGGGATAAATGTTTATAGGCAATATAACGCAGTTTGCAAAAGTTATTTTTTTAATTTGCATTTTGCAAAATTTGAAAAACTTTTCCCATGACTTCAAGATGCTTAAAAAAAAAGAAGATTCTCAATAAAACAAACAAAGATTGCTCTCAAAGAAACGTGAAACACCTAAAATTCTCAAGTTGAGAGGAATCAGCCGAGGGGCAGGCCAAGATTCAAAGAAAACAAATTCTCAATAAAAGAAGCAAGAAAGCTTCTTACTCCTCAAAGAACTCTCAACTCGTTTCCCATTTCGTACCGTTTGAGACAGTTAAAAAAAATCACACACACAAAAAAAAAACAAAACAAAACCAAAGAATTCATCATCGAGCATCCTCCACACCTTAAACGTGTGTTCAAAGAACTTTTCAATCACAATACTCAACGAGGATTCATATCTCAATAACACACCCAGAGAATCCAACGGAATCTTGAAAAAGCCCTCCCCCATCCCTTTTCCCTCCCTTGATCTCCTTGGCCGTAACTCATTCGTTTCCACCGTTGGAAAAAGAAACGTGGTGGCGGGGCGTTTATCTCAAGTTCAGCTCCGTTTAATTCCGTCGGAATGGTCGGAAACGTGGCGCACCCGTTCGTTGGAACAATCAACGAAGGCAGCAAGGGCGAAGGGGTTGAAAGGGAAGGGTTTCCATAATTAAATGCAGGGTTACCCACCCAGGGAATTAGCCGGCGACGAGGGTCTGCTGCCCGGGGCTGGTCCAGGTGGTTCATTGTCCTCCTCGGCCCTCGCATCGCCGTCCACGAGATCCTTGTCGATGTCCTTCTCGTGGTCGTTCATCTCCTTGGTGGATCGCAGCGAGTCGCGATTCGTCGATATCCGAAGCCTCTCGACGCTGGATCGATCGGTGGCGCCGCGATGAAAGAACGTCCTGTTGCTGGATCCTCGGTCGGGGCTCGCGCTTCCGGAACGGGAGTCCACGCTTCCGCCGGAACCGCCGAGTCGGGTCTTCTCCAGCGCAGGGGCGTACGGCCGTCGAGCTTTCTCGCTTGGGCTGCGACTCGGCGAGCCATTTCGTTTCTCTGGAAAATTAGCGTTTGAGAGATGCGCTCGTTGGCCAATGATCTTTGAAAATTCGTTTGAACAATTTTCGGTGTTTTAATGATTTAATGTCTTGGAATATGTCTTGGATAGTTCGTGTGAATAATGAAATTTTGTGGATTATCGTGGATATAGTGTTTTGGAAATTTATTTAAATTCGCTGGGAATAGATGTTTGTTAAATAATTATTTATTTAGTATTTTAGTATTTCATTTTGATAAGATATATTTCTATTTTTTGAAATTTATATTAGCGATTATACTAGAATTGGATAATTTGTGTTTTGAAATGAATTTAGATTTATTGTTAGTTGAAATGATTTCTTAATACTTTAGTATCATAGAATTATTTATTTTCTTTAAGAATTTTAATTATTTTTTAAGATGATATGTTTTTGAATAATTAGTTTGATCTTGGTATTGAATAGTTTGTAGAAATGTAAATTGAATTTATTTTAAAATTTGAATATTAATGCATATTTATAAAAGTAAATATTTGGTGTGATTGGTGATTGGATATGAAATTATGTCTTTTTGAAACTTAATGCTTGGATTAATTGATAAAAATTTTAGAAATATGAATTTTTTATAGATAGTAAAAAAAAAATATATTTTTTGTGGAAATTAAATAGTCTAATTCCTTAATTCTTTTTTCAAATTTAGAAATTGCACGAAAATATAATAATTTTGAATATTTATATATCTACTTTATAATCTCTTTCTTCGTTTTAGAATAAGTGGATCAGACAAGTTCCAAGTCTCGGGAAAATAGTGGCTCATGGGTAGTCATAAAAATGACATCAAGTAACTGTGATATATATAGAAAGTACAATATGTTCCAGAAATCGAGATAAAGTTTTAACCATGAACTATATATGAACACTACTTTTGATTTATACTATATACAACTTTCAATAAAGAATTACGTATGTCACCAACATTTATGGAAAAACTTTGATACACGTATAAATATTTTTTTGTTATATTGAATTCTGTATACTATATATATAATCTATATATAATTTATTTTGAAGTTTTAATACAGAAGCAAATATTATAATAAACATTGAATAATTATAATATTAATAAAACATTTATCAATAATATAATGTTCAGTAATCGAAAATGTCTTAAAATGTATTAAAATTCCTGAATCTTATTTTATTTTTTTAAAAGTGTAATCTACAATTCAATTAATAATAATCTTTTAATTTTTTAATATTATTAACTGTTAAATTTCATAAAAATATTTATATATATCTAACAAGAATACATATAGTAATATCTCAATATCAATAAAAAATAAACCAAATCTGACATTTCTAAAACATCAAAACCACAAATTTCCTCGCGCAAATAACTTTCACTTTCATCCAATGCAATAAAAAATCTCTCACCAATCAAAAACAATGAAACTCAAATTTCAAATGACAAATCTATAGAATTAATTCTTTTTTTCCTATTCACAGGATTAACTTTTAAATCTTTTTATATCTTTTCAAATCTAATCATAACAGAATTCAAATTCCAAATATCAAATTTAAGAATTTTAGAATTAATCTTGTTATCTAAGGCTCTTTTTACAAAAATCAAATTTCTCATCAATTAGAAACAATAGAACTCACATATCAAATGACAAATCTAGAATTGGTCTACAAGATTAGTTTTCAAATTTGAGCCATAGAACTCAAATTCCAAACGATAGACCTATACGATTAACTTTTTTCTTTTTATCTAAAATTAATTTCCTTATCGATCCAAAAATCAAATTTCTCATCAATTAAAAACAATAAAATTTAAATTTCAAATCATAAATCTAGATTGATGCATAGAATTAGCTTTCAAGTCTCTTAACAATCATAAGCAACAGAACATGCAACACAAACATTAAATGACAAACCTAAAATTAATTCTTTTCTTTTTATCCAAAACTAGTTCGTTTTATCGATACAAAAATCAAATTTTTCATCAACAGAATTCAAATACCAAATAATAAATCTATAGAATTGATCCTTCTCTTTCTATTCACAGAGCTCTTATCAATATAAAAATCAAATTTTTCAGAAGAAGAAGCAACAGAACTTAAATTCCAAATAACAGATTTATACGATTAATTCTTTCTTTTTTTTTTCCTATTCACAAGATTAACTTTGAAACTAACTATCAATTAAGCAATAAAACTCAAATTCTAAATAACAAACTTATAGAATTAATCTTCTCCTTACTATCTAAAGCTAACTTTTTTATAATCAAATTTTTCAATTAAAATCAAATTTCTCATCAATTAGAAGCAGGAGAACTCAAATTTCAAATGAAAAATCTAGAACTGGTCCACAAGATTAGCTTTCAAATCTCTTAGCAATTATAAGCGATAGAATTCAAATTCCAAACGACAAACCTATATGATTAACTTTTTCCTTTTTATCTAAAATTAGTTTTCTTTATCGAAAATTAAATTTCTCATCAATCAGAAGCAACAGAACTTAAATTTTAAACGACATATGATCTACAAAACTGATCCTATCCTTTTCTAAAGAACTCTCATTAATATAAAAAATACAAAAAGTTTCCAGCAATCGGAAGTAACAAAATTCAAATTCCATACCTATAGGACTTGCGCGTCGATCGATGGGACTCGTTCTCTCCTTCCTATCCACGGGGCTGGTTCTCTTATCGATAGGGCTGGCCGACTTGTCGCTGGCCGAGCTCCTCTTCTCCACGGGGCTGCTTCCGGCGCTCAGCCTTTTCCCTTCCTCCTGCGACTGTTGTTGCTGCGAATCGCCACCCTCCTGTCCAGGGCTGCCGCCATTGTTCGCAGCGTTGTTGTTGCTCGTGTTACCACCGTTGTTGTTCCCAGCTCCGTTGTTATTGTTCAACACGACCGGCAAAGCGCCACGGACGTCCCTCAGCTCGCCTCGAAGCGTGGCGCACTCGCCCCTCGCTCGTTCCAGCTCCCCGTCAAGCCGGGCGCCCGTCGCTGCGTTCTCCTCCACCATCACGCGAAATTTTGCCTGGAAACCGAGGGGACAATGCACGTTAGACGGTGGCCGAAAGTGGGAGAGAGGCGAAGGTGAATGTTGGTTGAAAGGGGAGAATGTTAATTCCCCGGTAATGAGCAGCAGCAGGAGTATCTTGTTATCTCCAGGAAAGAATTATTCGTTCTATTGTGTGGGATGCGAAGGATGTGAAATCTGTTTAAGTTGACGGATGTATGGAGAATGGATTTTATTTGTAATTAGGGATTTTGTAGATATTTGTACGAGTAATTGATGTAAGGAATATTGCATATATTTGATCTGATGATGATATGATGAAAATTGAACTTGAAATTGAAATATATCTGAAAATAAAAAGTTTAAATGTATTGTAGAATAGGAGAAAACGATTATTTTTATATTAACAATTTAAGAAATGAGATTTTTGAGTTATGATACTATCTATAATATTTATAATATTACATGATATATCTAATATATTGGTGATAGATCAATTTAAATCATTTTAACTTTGTGTAAATATTATAAAACTGTTGTATTTATATTATTTTGGTAAGTATTTTTTTCGAGATTGTTGTATTTTAATAATTTTATTATATCATTAAATAACTATGTTCATTCGTTATATTCATATTATTAAAAATTGTCTCGTTTTGTTGTTGCTATGATTGTGTCGTTTGTGTTTAATTGCTATGATTTGTTAATTTATATCGCTTTCTAAATTCGGATAAGAATATTTTGTAAACATCATGTATCATAAAATAAATTTATTGTAAACAATTGTATAAAAGCTATTTATTTTAGAGACTCCAAAAATCAACATAACATTTCTACTAACTTAATAATATACTGATATCATCCCTGTCAGATGCAAAAATGTCTTCTGGAGTAAGGATATGAGATGAATTTCTTTATATTATTTTTCTTATAAAAAATTAATTAAATTGTTTTCTTTAAAAATATCTTTAAAAATACTCTAAAAGTACATAAGATTTTTAATCTTAGTTTAAAAGGTGAAAGAGTAGAAGTTCAAACATTTTACATATATTGAAAAAAATGCTAGACAGAACATTGTAACTAAAAAGTAAGTAGTTATTATAAGTGATACAATCTTTTTATTTGAGAAAACTTTGATCAAAGTTAAAATTTGTTTAAGATAAGAGTTGAATACTTAAATTTATACTATATTTATACGAAATAAAGCGAATGATATAGTGGTTATATATTAGACTATTATCGATCTTTTGATGAATTTTAGACTTAGCAGTAAAATTTTCTAGTTAATTCTTTGAACCATAAAATTTATAACTTCGAGTACGTAATAAAACAAGTAATAAAAGAGTTTCACTACCACTGAAAGTATTGACTCCTTAATATCTGTGTGAGACATGGATAAAATAAATATTTATTATTTTATTATTTACTTTTTTTTCTTATTGATCTCTAATACCATTATTTCAGAAATTATTGTATATTGTATATTGTTTTATAAAATATGTAATTTATTTTTTTTTTAAAAATAAAGATTTTAAAAAATTTGAGTTTTAAAGAATCACTAAAAATATTATTTTAATATTAATATTATTATAATATTAATTATAATATATATATATTAATATATTATATATATTAATAATTAATTTTAATATATATTATATTAATATTAATATTTTTAATATTAATTTTTCAAAAATAATAAAGAAAAATTTTTTTTTTTTATTTGAAGTTCTTAGATAAAAGAAGTATATGCGAAGATTAAATCAAAATCAAATTTAAGTCATTAATGTATCGAATTTCGAAAAAAAAAAAACAAAAATTGAAATTCCACATGATCCAAAAATCTTCTTCTTCTCATACAAAGAATCAAAAACCTTGTAAAAATCAATCTGCTCAGCAAATGCCAACTTCCATCACTCAAGATCTCAATAAACATATATCGTGAAGAATCTATCATTGAAAAACCGATTACTTCCAATAAAATTTCGTCTAAACTTGAAAAAGTTTTTATTTAAAAGTTTTCTACGAATTTCCAAGTTTGTCCAGGTAAAATAAAATAATGGACGCAAACCCTTATTTGCTTACATATAATCAACGTGAATAAAAAGGAAGAAAAAATGTAAAAAGAAAAGAGAGGAACGAAGAAGACAGAAAGAAACGGTTAAGCGAAAGAGAGAGAGAGAGAGAGAGAGAGAGAGAAAGTATTGAAAGTTCCATGAAATTCCGACAGGGGTCTATAACGGTCCCTGGAAACTACGTTATGCACCGACGTTTCGCCAAGTTACGAAAACGTTCATGCCGGAATCGAAAATAAAACGAACAAATACCGATACAGAGATAAAAGTACAGAGTTAAAAGTTTACTACAACGCGAAGCCGTGCAATATTTAATAAGCCTACTGCGGTGACCGTGGAACACGAATCTCATTGTAAGCTCCCTATTATACCGGTCGTTCCAAAACCTCTTTGCGCATGGCTATATTAAGTGTACGCAGAAGTTCGTGCCTGGTTTCCCTCGACACGTGATCCCAGTCACGGAACAAAAGATCGCACGTATGTTTAATGTGTGTTTGCTGTGAATCGACGATAATAGATGTGGACGAAAGGAAGAAAGGAATAAGGTGTTGACAAATTTTTATAGATTAATTTATTTATCGATGAATGAAATTTTTGAATGAGAATTTCATGTATTATTGGTTGATCGATTAATAATGAAGTTTTCAATATGAGAATTTATTTTGATTGGATCAAATATAATATTCGATTGATTTCGGAAAAATTGCAATAAATTGGTGAATAATATTGCTATCGAATAAATTTTGAAATTTTTATTATTTGTTAGCTCGATTTACGAAAAATATCATCTGTAATTCGAAAATCGAATTGAAATAAATAACAATAAATGAAAAAAAAAAAAACTATGAGTATTCGATTGCTTTTTAAAAAAATTGCGATAAATTGAAAAGTGAAATTATCGAAAAAATTTTTAGATTTTTATTAATCATTACTTTTATAGTTTTTCATAGTTTCATTCGATTGATCAGAAAAGAAGATTTTAAAATAATTTTAATTATTTTAATTAAAAATAAGTAATCGTTAATTAATATGATTATATTTGATAAATATTCAATTAATTTTTGAAAAATTTTGACAAATAAGTGATTAGAAATTATCTTTTTGCGAAATCTATTTTAATTAAAACAAATAAGTGCCGATTGATATAATAATCTTAAAGAGTATTCGATTGTAATCAATGACAATTGAAGTAAGGCAGTGATGTGACCAAATCTCTAGATAAAGCCAATTCTCAGGAATTATCGTGGAAACTCTCGAATGGAATAATAGATAGGACCTCTCTTGTTCTGGCTAACTCGGCAGCTAGTCCATTGAGATAGGTCAATGATTATGGAATGTAGTTGGTGCGGTTAGATGGGAATATTGAAACGGCCATCATAGGAATGTCTGAAAAGCATGGTAACCGAAATCAATAAAGCATAATATGACGCTTGACCTTCGAATCGAGTATCTTCTATTGTACAAACAATTTCTATGCCTTTATATTATCATTGAAAACTCAATCTTGCAAATAAACTTACGAATTCTATCATTATAGTTAATAAACGATAAATTTAATGCTAACTTGAAAAATGAAAGATTAAATCAAATATGAGATATAATATTCTATGAACTTTTAATAATCGAAATATGAGACGAAACTTTTAAATAATTTAAATATCTAATTCTCGAATCACATTTTCTCTTTTACATATAAACTTTCTATCTTATTAAATCTCACAATAGACATCAATATAAATATGAGACAAAATTTGTAAACAAATTTAAATTATCTAATTTTTGAAACACCTATTTTCTCTTTCTATTTCACTAAACTTCATTATTTATATTTTATAAATCCTCTATATAACTCAAATATGAGATAAAATTTTTAAATAATTATGCATAACTCTCAATCCTCTCATTCTAATCGAGTTTTTCATTGCGAATTTCCTCGCAGGCAAAAGCAATTAATCATTAGAGGGTGAATGAATCAACTGTCTCGATCTCGTTACACGGTCAACGACGTTTGATCATAATCCTCGTAACAGGCTGATCAACCAACCGAGATTGCATTTTCGATCAGATAAGAAGCAAAAAGGGAAGAGAGAATAAAAGCAGAGAGAAAAAGAGAGAGAGAGAGAGAGATTTGATGGGCAGCGGTGAACCAGCACCGTTGGCCAAGTTCCAGAGACACAAAAGGGTAGCCGGTGAGGATAAAGGCATCGCGAACTTGTTGCGTTCCCAGAGGCGCCTTCCGTTTTCCTTTCGTCGCACCAAAGCCACCCTGACGACTGTATTCACGCCCTTTTCACACCCTTGAATCGTAGGATCGTCGATAAATTTCTGTTCAATGGAGCTAGCTTCGCGTAACTATCTCTATGACAGGTTTTCGCCATTGGTCTTTTGATCTTTAATCTCTTAATTCTTTAGATCTTTCATTTTACTTTATTTTTATTTCAGAAATTGATAGTAGTAGTGGCTTGAGGATATGCGTAGATTAAATTTAAGATTCTATTTAATTTTTATTACTTTTTCCTTTTAACAGAGAATTAAGTTTGAATCTCTTTTATTTAATTTCCCTTATTCACCTTTTCTTCCTTTTAGAAATAGATAATATATTGAGTTGGAGAATACACGTAGATTGAATTTGAATATGCAAAATGCATATATAAAGAGACACAAAATATTCAAATCATAATATGTATGTTATGATATTTAAGTAATAAAATTTCTATTTAAATCTTCATTTTCATGAAAATTTGATTTTGCATAAAAATCCGTAGCGTGTTAATTAAAGTGACTTTAATAAATTACAGACATTCAAAAGATATAATCTAACGAGAAATAAATAAATTTCAATTTCAATCTTAATTTTTCAAGCAACATAAATCACGATACTCGTAAAAGTTTAAAATGATAATGTTAGGAAGAATTGCAAAGAAGTTCTATTCCCTGTAATCC